AAATGTTTTCAAGCAAAAACAAATAAAAAAACACCAATAAACATTAAATTGAAAAAAAAAAAGTTTCTGGATGTGGAGACCACTCTGTCTGTGACCAATGTGCTGTGACGTCTCTGATTTTCCTTTTCTTTTAAAGGGGTAGATGAAGAGTTAAGGTGTTGAATCTACAATAAATCCCAGGAACTGAATAACTGATGTGGGCTGTAAGCTGAGATGTTTCTTGTTTGATGATTCAACCATGATCTCTTAGGAGCTGCAACATAGTTTGAATATCCTCCTGCACACAAAGTTTTGATCTTGCTTTGAGAAACTAATCATCTAAATAGGGTACTATGGAGTTGTATTTTTCTCTCAATGATGCTGTTAAGTGGGCTTTGCAAATATAATCGGGGCAGAGGCCAATCTGATATTGTAGAATTATCTTTCCTGAGGGGATTGCAAACCTCAGAAACCACCTTGTGTCTGCTGGCATAGGAACATGCAGGTATGCGTCCTTCAAGTGCAAGCCCGCCATAAAAATCTATTTTTTGAAGAATGTAAGTTACAATCATAATGGTTTCCCTGCAAAAATTTTCATACGGAATGAACTTGCTGATGTTTTTGAGATCTAACACAGGACGAACCACAATGCTTTTGCTTTGGAACTAGGAATAATCTTGAGTAAACTCCTTTGTCCTTTTCTTTCATTGGCACTCTCTCAATTATGCCTTTTTAAACTTCTGCCAAGAGAGATTCCATTTTGGCATGAGAAAGCTATGATGATATCAGGAAATGTGACCTTGGCTTTTCTGTAAACTTTATCTTGTACCCATCTTTTATGTAGTATTGAATCCAGGGATTTGCAGTTGTTTTCTTCCATATTTGAAAAAACCCTTGGACTCTCCCTCCTACTTTGATGCCATCAGAATCTTTCTTTTGTCCTGTTTATTGGATTTATTCTCATTAAACCAGTTATCCCTTTGTTGTCTGAAAATTAAGGAATCTTTCCGGATATCTTAACTACCTCTGATAGCAAGCTTGGCATCTTCTACTTCCAGAAGAATATCTACTGTCCTGTGGCAGAGCTTTTTTGGTATCTGACATTTGCTTCATCATCAATTGAGATCCAAATAGCTTATTACCCTCAAGTGGTAATTAACACAGGGCAGATTTGAAAGCTGTGCTACTGAAGCTCCCGGCGGCTTTTCCTTTAAAAACGGTTGACTGGAACACCCTTCGACACAAAGTCTCTGCTCGTCTGTCCATCGGCTCTTTAAGGCCTGATACCTCACTGATTGGAAACCGTCTTTTTAGAGAGTTGGGCAATTTGGATATCAACTTGTGCAGTCCATGCCTCAACTTTAGGTAGGACCTCCCATTCCACCTCCTGTAACTTAAATACTTCTTAAAAAGGTTTCTTCAATTCCCTTTTCATAACTTCTAAAGGTTTAGGTTGCATAAGGAAGCCTTTACACTTGCGTTTAGAGGTAGCATCTTCCTGTAAAACATAAGTCACCTCTCTCATAAATCTTTTGATTTCTTCTGCTGGGAAACCTTCTTCCATGCTAGAAGTTTGACTAGATGATTCATACATAGAAGAATCCAAACATTCTCCTGATGGTAAATCAGAATGAGATGATGACAACCTTTCTTTTTTACATTTCTTACTTGCATGTTCATAAAGATTAGACTAAGTTCTTTCTTTAAATGCTGCAAAAGTCTGCGCTAGGTTGCCTTGAAACCATTTCAGAAATGACTGCATCTTTTTGTATTTGGATTTTTCCAAAAATTCAGCAGAGCATTGATTGCAGATCTTTTTCTTACAGCTATCACAGAGTTGCACAGCACACTAGTTGCAAGACAGGTGGCTTGGATTTAAAAGCATTTTTGAGATACTGTGGCCGAAACTTTATCTTTCTCCATTTTTTTCAAGTGACGTCAGGCTAGACATCTGAAACACAGAACAAGAGGGAAAAAAATCCAAGTTTAAATGACTAAACTTAATAAAATGGAAGTCTTTAAAGTAGAGAGATTATTAAGCTCACCTCAAAGTCTTCCTAGACTGTGGGAGGAAAATTGGTGACACGTTATAACCCAAACTGACACGTACCATGTTGCCAGCTGGGCTTGCACAGCTTAAATAGGCATTTAAAAATAGAATTTTGCACCAGAAATCGAGGTTTTAAAATCTGCATACACAGTAGTGCATTTGAAACCTCAGTGGCACGCAAGTCCTCCTCGGCGTATGTTCCACCACTGTGCGCTGGCGCAAAGCCTGCTTCACGATAGACGAGCCGCCCAGGAATGTATGCAAACACTTGCTGGAAAGCTCAACAAAAATGCGGCCACAGCTCTCTAACTCCCCTCGGAGCAGTGTCTCGCAGTTCACCATCTGGGGAGCTCTCGGGCAGGGTCCCCTTGGCACATGCGGTGTGCCTCACCAGCCTTCAACCTGCTGTCCGTCCCTCTGTTGGACAAGAAAATATAGAAGGTGTTACATGGGAAGGAAGATGGATTATTTAAATTTATTTTATTTCACTTTGCAGTCTGCTTGTCCCACTAAGGAATACAAACCCCACTGTGTACTGCCACTATGGGCCAGGCAAAAAAATAGATAACATAGGATGAGAGCATATAGAATAAAATACATGCTGTTTTACCATTGAACCGTCTTTTTTACCAACTCCTTTTTCCTAATAAAGGTCTGCAATTGATAATTCCAGTGTGTCCCAACTTCTGTTATAACTAAAATCAGGAGTTTATTAAGTTACTTTGTAAATATTCATAACCCCTTTAATCCCAACCCTATTTATACACATGTACAACTTTTATTTTGTATTTCAAAGGAACACAAATTAAAGTAAAATTACCTTTCACCTCTGACCCATTTCCCATATTCACTAGGCACAGACATTTTCAGCAGAACTTCATTGTATCCCTTTTCGTCTCTGCAGAGACTGTAAATGCCTCCTCTGTCTCTCTGCTCTATGCAGATGCCTTTGTGGGCCCAAGGTTCTGAAGGTCTCAACAGATTGAAGTAATTCTTTTCATGATGCAATTGAAAACTGCAATGCTAGTATGCATGTATTATATGTATAAATAATATATGTAACTTAAACACACACAGATCAGTCACAACATTAAACCACTGACAGGTGAAGTGAATAACATTGATTATATCTTTAAAATGGTACCTGTCAACAGGTACGATATATTAGGAAGCAAGTACACGGTCAGTTCTTGTACTTAGTGTCCTTGAAAAGATCCAAATAGTGATGGGAAGACGACTGGTCAGAGCATCTCCAATACGGCAAGACATGTGGTGTTCCCAGTATGTAGTGGCTAGTACCTACCAAAAGTAGTGCAAGAAAGTGCACCAGCATCAGGGTCATAGGCACCCAAGGCTCATTGATACACATTGAGAGCAAAGGCTAGCCATTCTAGTAGAACTACTGTAGTTCTGATTGCTGAAAAACTTAATTATGATCATAATTGAAAAAAGTGTCAGAACATACAGTGCCTCACAGTTTGTTGTGTATGGGGCTGGGAAGCTGCAGACTGGTCAGAGTGCCTATGATGAAAGCGTGAGAACTGGACAATGGAGCAATAGAAGAAGGTTGCTGGCCTGATGAATCAGGTTTTCTTTTAGATCAGGTGGATGGCCGAGTGCATGTGTGTTTACCTGATGAAGAGATGGCAGCAGGATGCACAATTGGAAGAGGGCAGGCCGGTGTAAGCAGAGTTATGCTCTGAGCAATGTTCTGTGGGGTCCTGGCATTCAAGTGGATGCTACTTTGACACTAATCATTTACCTAGAGATTGCTGCAGACAACATACACGCCTTTATGACAATGGTGGTCTGTGATGGCAATGGCCACTTTCAGCAGGTTAATGCACCCTTCCACATTGCAAACATTGTCAAGAATGGTTGGTGGAATATGACAGAGTTCAAGGTGTTGCTTTGGCCTTCAAATTTCCCAGATCTCAATCTAAATGAGCATCGTAGGGATGTGCGGTCACAACGAATCCGAACCGTGGAGGCCCACCTTGTGACTTTCAGGACTTAAAGGATCTACTGCTAGTCTTGGTGCCAGATACAATAAAACACGTTTAGAGGTCTTGTGCAGTCCATGCCTCAACGCATCAGAGCTGTTTTGACAGCACGAAATGGATCTACACGATATTAAAAAGTGGTTTTAATGTTGTTACTCAGTGTTTACATCATCTCAATTACAAATTTGTCAAATTTAAAGAACACTACAGGGTCAGGAACACAAACACGTATCCCTGACCCTACAGTGTTAAAACCATCACCATCTAGCCTTCCTGCCCCCCCCAAATATAGTAAAATCTTACTTTTGTTCACGTCCGCTGCTGTTGGCTCTGCCCCTGGTCTGCCTGGTTGGCTGACATAATCAGAAGTAGTCATCTGAACCAATACCAATGCTCTCACATAGGATTGGCTGAGACTGTTCAGGAGGCAGATCAGGTGCAGAGCCTAACCTGATGACTAATCAGCAACTCCTCATAGAGATGTATTGAATCAATGCATCTCTATGAGGAATGTTCAGTGTCTGCATGCCGAAGGAAGAGATACTGAATGTTAGTGCTCCACACTGAAGCCCTGCCCCAGGAAGCACATCTAGTAGCCATCTGAGGAGTGGCCAGTGAAGGTATCCCTAGGCTATAGTGTAAACACTGCATTTTTTCTTTAAAGACAAATTCAATAAGCTGTAGTTGTTCATGTGACTATAGTGTCCCTTTAAATTAAATGATCATCTGCTTTACACTCATTTAGCCCACAGAATATACTCTCCCATAAGAAACCAGCGAGAAGCCTAGGCAACAAAACATCCCATTCAATAAATGATAAACTGACATACAGTACATACTACACAAATGTAATGATGATACTGTAACATTCAAGTTAATACATGCCCTCTTGGGTATCTGCTACTGATGAACTCAGTTAATGTATTCCATATTGCACACAAAAATTAAAATATACAAAGACTTTAGAGAGCATCTTTTTACATTTATTTAATCAGTATCACGAGTAGTAATTACATTTTGAATGGGTATACAATTTTCTTTCCGATTTTATTTGCAAGTAAAATAAATTCACTGACAGCATAATAATCATTTTTAAATGAATGAAGTCTCACAGTGCTTTGTTAATGGCAAGAAAGAGCATTCATACAAAAGGGCAGTAATTCATATACACATGCTTTCATTAGCAGCTATTGCTAGGGGTTTGACATTACAATGTGCAGTCTTTTACCAGCTATGTGCATTGGGCCATTCTCTATTTTAAGCAGTCACTCATAAAACAGGCATATCCCATTGTTCTGTAAACAGATTATACTCCTTGAATGTGTGGCAGAGGGCAGAACTTAGAATGCACTTAAAGTGAGAGGTAGGGGCAGTAGCTTAGTTACACACAAAACAAAAGAGATTGTTGGAGTTAAAATAAGACAACATGATTTCCATCACAAATAACCAATTTACAGATCACTTAAGTGTTTTTTGTTTTTGTACACTCTTCAAAATGCTACAAATTGTTATTTCACCTATTAAGAGACTAGGTTTAATCTCTGCAATTCCCACTACCAATTTCATTTCATTAAGAGCATGCCTGGTGAATAGAAAAAGATATTTTTTTTTAATGGAAAATAATTAGTGATGTAATCGTTTCAATGCTAGAGGTTCCAGGTACACCTAGAATTTAAACAATGATTGCTCATGTCTAAAATCGGCCTTTTTCCATGAGCTTCCGTGTCTGGAAGTATCAGGACAAGAAACGTAACCGTTTTATAAAGTCAGCATATCCAGAATGACCTCTTACTAATATGCTCTGTGCGGTGGTTCATGGTGGTTTGGTTGATACACATGTTTAAAGCAAAGACAGCTGCATAGGAATTCCAGGCACCGCCCTAAACAATTTCATTTTTATTCAATGGTTATACCCTATTTCTAGTGATGGTTTTGACATTTAATTAAACAAGTGGCGATTTTAAGGGAAATAAAGGTTTCTAATTAAAACTGATACTGTGTTTAAGCAGCAAAATGTTTCTATGTCTGTGACCTGTAATTCCAGGCATTGTTTTATATATATATCATACATATATTATATATAAAAAATAATTATGAGGCTTCTGCAAAATGACACTAAATGCCATCATTTTATAAAAATAAACCTTAAATGTAACCCATCACACTTCAGCTCATTACAGTGGTCTAGGTGCACTGTCCCAGGTTCCTTAACTTTGCAAAGGTAATTATTGCAGTTTTTAAGAAACCGCAATAATTACCTTTTATGGTTAACTCCACCTCTAGTGGACTTTAGGGTCGTTAGGAGACTTTTGCTCGTTGGACGTCCTCATGCTCTGCATAAGGACATCCAGCGTCACCCTGAACCCTATAGGATCGCATTGTACAATGCTTTCCTATGGTGGAAGTTCTAATGCGACGATCGGCGCACATAGTCTCCCCCACAGGCTGACGGTGGGGGAGGAGCGGAAGTGGAGCCGAAACCAGCACTGTGGGACATTGGTGCTGGAATCAGGTAAGTGGCAGAGGGTATGGGGGGGGCCTAAAGGGAGCTTTTAGTGCCAGGAAAACAACTTTGTTATCCTGGCACTATAGTTTCCCTTTAATAATTTTCTAAAACTGGGAAACAGTCAATATTATGGCGAACTGAACAGGAAACTGCAAATTTTAAGCAGAGACAGTTGGAAACATTTTTCACTGTTATTTCTTGGCTTAAAGGACCACTCTAGGCACCCAGACCACTTCTGCTTAATGAAGTGGTCTGGGTGCCAGGTCCTTCTAGGGTTAACCCATTTTTTCATAATTATAGCAGTTTCAGAGAAACTGCTATAATTATGAATGGGTTAAGCCTTCCCCCTAATCCTCTAGTGGCTGTCTCATTGACAGCCACTAGAGGCGCTTGCGAGCTTCTCACTGTGATTTTCACAGTGAGAGCACGCAAGCGTCCATAGGAAAGCATTGTAAATGCTTTCCTATGCGACGGGCTGAATGCGCGCGCAGCTCTTGCCACGCGTGCGCATTCAGCCCAGGAGGAGGAACGGAGGAGGAGAGAAGGAGGAGAGCTCCTCGCCCAGCGCTGGAAAAAGGTAAGTTTTTAACCCTTTCCCCTTTCCAGAGCCGGGCGGGAGGGGGACCCTGAGGGTGGGGGCACCCTCAGGGCACTATAGTGCCAGGAAAACGAGTATGTTTTCCTGGCACTATAGTGGTCCTTTAAGACTTGGTTTTGCCTAACATTTGCAATTTCTTTGACAATTCTCCGCAATATCAAGTTTGCTTTTTTTTAAATTATTATTTAAAACAAAAAACACAAAATAAAATCCTAGGCACAAAAACTTCCTAAATACAAAATCTGTTTGCATCCTTCCCACGCAAATAATTAACCTTGCTTAGAGTGTAATAACATTTCAGCGCATTATTGTAGACATGACTATGTACTTACATCTTAATAAATTTCCTGGAAACAGAGTAGGCAAGCAACGCTTAGAGAAATTTTGAGAAATCATGAATGTGACGGAAAGTAAATGTGATTCCTATATAGTTTAACTTCTGTTTAGGAACACAAACCAAACCTGTGGATATAGCTCTCTAAAGGACAGGACAATGTGGATTTTATGTAATACAAGACAATGTAAAATTTCCATTAAAAACCAACAAATTGGCATTGCTGAGTACTGCGAAGATATATAGTAAATATCTCAGAAGTGCAGGTAGTAGATGGAGTTAACTTAAACATTAAAGGAACACTAAGCTGTTATGGTGCGAGGAGTCTCCTGTTGCTGCCTCAGAGTAATTTAACAAGGGTTTGACAGCATATCTGGGTCCCACCTTGCAGGAAAATCCATTAAGCTTCAGTGAGCATCAGTGCAGCATGGCCTGGTATCAGGATGTGCTTAGCTGGGGTGATACATTTGGTTTCTCCTGCAGGAGAGTGTGTGGGCACCCAGGGAAGTTGTCAAACCATACTAAAAAGGGTGTCGGGGCACTTCTGTCACCATAACCACTACAGTGGGCTGTAGTATCATACCCTCCTAGCAACATATCCACCATAAAGCTGGGTATAGTGATTATGGTGCTTGGCGTGTTCATTTAAGTCTATGGTATAGTGATTGTTAAGCATTCATCAAGATCAACTTTAAACAGAAGTTTCAGATTTCAGGATTTAAGGAAAGATAATGAATACAAGTCAAATTACCTATATGCACAATTTGACTAGTATGGGAATTTAGGGAGATCGTTGAAAATGTAGGAGCATTAATCAGCACTGAAATATGTATCTTTTAAAAGGTCAAACACAAAAATTAATGTTCTCCACCCACCATTTAACAGTTATGAGAATGCCACATGCACAGGTATTCATCTTGATCTATCATATCACAGATCCAATGGATATCTAAGCAAAAAGGTGACTAGGGCAAAATCTGCCATTTAAGTGATAAAATTATGTATAATCAGGTAATTCAAAACAGAGTACTATTCAACACCTCTAAAACATTCCTATAGGCATTCACCTTTGTTAGAAATGTTTGTCATAACCAACAATGATAAATGGCTGATCAAAAAGGAATACACAGGCTGAAGATCAGATTTAATTCGAAAACACTATATCAATTAGCTGTGACTAGAACGTCGGCGGATGAAAAGTTTTGATACAATGTCTTAAAATCTGATAATGTGAACGATTTTTATCACTGACATGAATAGAGATGGAATTAGATTATACATATAAATTTATACAATTTTTATATAACAGTATGCATCATTTTCCTTTTGTAAAAACCAGCAAAACATATAAGTTCAGGAGAGCAACACCACTATTATTTGTCTCTTGCTATGAACTGGTCGAGTGGACCTCCTTTGTAACAGGAATGCAACATATGATCGAGTTCTGATGATCAGGGAGTGTAATGGTAGAGCACAATTCATATTTAGAGAAATGTCAACATGTGACGAATCATGATTTAGAGATTGCATGATACCTGCAACAAGACATTTATCCCCCCAAAAAAGCTATGGTAGATTTTGGATCCCCATCACATTTTATGCAAAATATCTTCAGTGCAAATATCTTAAAAAAAAGAAAAAAAGGAAAAGCTTAGTTCCTGACTTCATTAAGTTGATGTTTTAAGATAGTTATTGTTGCTCATGGGACGGTGTTGACATCACAAGTGCTTGACCGCTTACCAATATGCTCCGTGTGGCGATTCATGGTGGTTTGGTTGATCTCCACAATGTCATGTTCAATACTTTAGACTGTTCAGGACTTGTTTTCACACCTGATAACTGCAATGTTTTCTCGTTGCATTGATCTAAAGCCACCAAATTCCTTACATATCTGGCTGAGGGAGAGAGTTTCCATCATAGTCAGATAATCGTGATAACTTTGGGTCCATGAACGTTATTCAAGTTCGTTTGCTAGCACTGGGCAGATTGTCAGAAATGGTACTATTCATGTGCTGGTTTGTAGCGCAATGGGTATGAACAATATGGCCATTTGGGTGTTTGACAAAAACTGGTTCCTGGAAAGGATTTCGGCAAACATGACAAAGCTTCTTCTCAGACAGAACCACTGGATTCTTCATCATGCTCAGCTGGAATAAGAAACAAACAAAAAAAAAATTCATCAATTTTTTGGTGAAAAAAAACAAACACTGAAGAGACACAGGTTAAACAAAAAGCTAGCAAACATAAAAACTCTTACAAAGCTTTCATAATAGCATGTCAAATGTGACATTGCACCATATCAATGCGAGAAAAAACAAAAATATGTTATGTTGGTAGTAACCAGTTATCACTGAGACACTGCACTGCAATGAACATGTACGAACATATACAGGACTAGACCAAATGCAAGAGTTAGGAAAGCTTTAGATCCTCGAAATAAGACCTTTACCACCTAACAATTAAAAAGGCACTATAGTCACCAGAACAACTACAGTTTATTTAGTGGAGTCAGTCCCTACAGGCATTTTGATGTTAACACTTCAAAGAAAAGGCAGTGTTTACATTACAGCCCAGGAACACCTCTAGTGGCCACTCCTCAGATGGCCACTAGAGGTGCTTTTTGGGTCAGTGCTGCACAGTGTGCTGAACTTTTCCCATAGAGATGCATTAATCCAATGCATCTCTAGGAGGAGATGCAGATTGGTCAGGGTGGCATTTAGCTGAGATAATCTGAGATAATCAGAATTGATGATTTCAGCCAATCCAATGCTTTCCAATAGGAAAACATTGTGATTGGCAGAGATCATCAGTTCTAAATATGTCAGCCAAGGAGACTGATGAGGGATGGGGTCAAACACGAGGAGCACCGTGCGGAGATGGAAAAAGGTGAGCAAATCACCTAACAAGATGTAAGTGGGACCGATCATCTAAACAGTGGTTTAAAAACTACATACACTTTGTGTTCCTGGCACAATAGTGCCCCTTTAAACACTTTCCATAGAAAAGATAACAGTGGATGCAGCCTGCAGCTGTATAACTACTGCTAAAGCATCATGGGAGTTGCCATGCAATATACACGTTACAGAAAAAGTCAGTTTTTGAAAATAAATAAATAAATCAGAAGAGATTTCTTTTGAATGTCTTTGGAGTACTTTTAAAACAGTAATAAGTTATTGAATTAAAATAGCAAGTCAAGAAAAAAAAAGGATTAAATATGGCAGATCTTTACATTCTGTTTTTTAATCTTGTTACACTCAACAAGGAAATTTTTTCGATAGAGTGGGAAAATTAAATTAAGCTATATTGAGAAAAGATTAACACAAAAATATTGGAAAGAATAGAAACCAATTTAAGCAGACTAAAAACCAGATTTTACTAGAGGAACAACAGAGAAGATAAAATGTTAACTAATAAGTAAAAAAAGAAATTAGATAATTTATACATTAATAAAAGATGGCATGACATAACTAAAGCCAGAAGAAATAGGCAATGTGTTTAAAATATTTTATAATAAACTCTATAATTTGGAGGACTACTCAATAGCCCTACATATTGATAATTATTATAAAAAATCCAAGATATAGACAATATCATTGGAAAATTTAGAGATCCTGTACCAGCAGATTGACCCAGGTGAGGCACAGCAAGCAATTAGTAAATTAGATTAATAGCAAAGCCCTGGGACCAGATGGTTATACGAACATGTTCTATAATGTTTTCCAGAAAAGTGTTATTGTACCTATGACGGCTACCTTTAATGAACTGGCAGCAAAAGAGTCAGCATCAAAAGAGTTATTAAGTGCAAATATAATCCCAATCCTAAAACTGGACAAGGTACAGACAGACGCATCTAACTATCGCCAAATATCTTTAGTCATATAGATATGAAAATATATGCTTCAATTTTATAAGAAAGACTCAAGAAGATCTTGCCTTTAGTTACTCATTTGGATCAGATAGGCTTCCTAATGGGAAGACAGTCTTGTTATAATACAAGGCGGGTTGTGGATTTATTGGATTGGGCCCAGCAGGAGGGAGCTTCCCTTCTGATTGGCGGTGGATGCAGAGAAGGCCTTCGACAGGGTTGGGGATATTGGAGGAAGGTTTTAACCCGATTTGGCCTGATCGGATTGATTGCAGATGCGATTGGTGCATTGTATTCATCTCCCTCAAGATTGGTGGGGCAGGACTTTTGTACGGATTGGTTTGATAGATCTAATGGAACGAGACAAGGGTGTCCTTTGTCCCCTCTATTATACATATCAATATAATCTCTTGCTATCAATATAAGAAGTAACCCCTTGATTAAAGGAGTGATTCAAAAAGGTAGGGAACTAAAGCTATGCCTACATGCAGATGACATCCTTATTTCCGTAACAGACCCGTGTTTTTCTCTACGCCATCTAATGCAGGAATTTAAGAGTTATAGACTAGTTTTAAACTATAAATTAAATATGAATAAAACATCGGTCCTATTTAAATATATTGAAGTCAACAAACTTAAAAGACTTAAAAAATATGATTTTAATTGGACTGCTAAGGCTATACGATACTTGGGCATTGATATTACCGTAGATCCAAAAGCAATAATGGAAGTTAATTTTTTGAGACTCCTTAAACATACTATTATCCTGTTAAGAGAATGGAGATACTATGAAATTTCCTGGTGGGGGAGATTAACACCATTAAATCATATATCCTCCCCAAGTGGGCATATCTATTTCAGATGCTCCCTCTAGGAATCCCAAAACAATGGCTAGATACTGTACAATACAGTTTTACCAATTACATCTGGAGAGGCAAAAGACCTCGATTAAATATTAGGTTTTTGGACAAAAAAAAAAAAAAAAAGTCATGGAGGAATAGGATACCCGGTAATTAGAAATACCTATCTGGCGATTATGATTATCCACGTCCACAAATTACACATCAACGATTCAAAGGATCAGGCATGGTATAAATTGGAAGCAAGCAGGAGTAGGCTCTGACAACCTTGCTTATCGATTGTGGAATGATATAGAAAGAAACAAAACTACTTATGACTTCGAGAAATCATTAATAATTTCAAAAACTTTGAAAGAATAGCAGGGTATAAAGAAAGATTTAAAAATTACTAACATCTATGAAGGGGCTAATATTAGAATATTGGAGTCACTTATGCCTAACATTGATCTAAGAAGTTGGATCAAACAAAGTGATTATACAATAAGGGAAAAATGCGATTACCAACTTTTTTCTTTTGATAAATTGATTATTAAAAGGATAATAAGGGTATAGTCGACCTACTTTAAAAAAACAAAACAAAACAAAAAAAAACCCATTTAATGGCACAAACCAAAAATTGTCTATTTCAAGGGCAATGGAGTATATTGGTGTGAAAACTCCTATACTGAAAATTTCAGCTGTGAAGCAGTGGGAAAGCGATATGGCCATTTCTGTAGGTAACAGGGTGTGGGATTCAATACTCTCAAAACATAAACAACATTAAGTGAAAGTCATGTATCCGTGGTACATAGTCCCAGTGAGACTCTCCAGGATTTCCCCTTCCAACTCTTCAGTTTGTTGGAGATGTTTACAACTAGAAGGAACCATGTACCACATATGGTGGATTTACCCTAGGATAGTTCAATTTTGGGACCAAGTATTTAAAATCATAAAGGATTGTAGGATGGTATACCGCTGATTAAAAAAAAACATAAACTGCTTTATTAAATATAAATAGCACGGTAAGTGTTAGAAAATATGATATTCTGATTACACATTGCTTAATGGCAGCAAAATTATGGACTGCTTGACACTGGAAGCAAGTAATAATTCCAACTCTATTTATAAAACAACTGCTCTTCCAATTGGAGATGGAAAATATACTATTTAACTACCCTAGGGGCTACAGTTCCTCAACCATCTATAAAGAATAGACAAGATTGTTGGCCTGTACACCGAACCCTGATCGTGTTGGCTTTTGTCTACTGAACCAGGAACGATAGAAGTTAATGTGGAAATAGATCTCGCAGTCGCAGTGAATATTTTTAGTTTGTCTTATTGTTGGTATGTGTATGTGATAGGGTTAATATGGCTATCTCTTGTGTAAGGGGAATACGCTTATACTTGTATATGACTTTTTACTTTTTGTACTAGTTGTGAAATTAATTCTGAAATATAAATAAGTAAATATAATGGAAAAAAAAAAAAAAAGTCAGTTTTGTTTTTTTACAATATGAAAGTCTGGCTTCTAAATTCTATATCTGTCAGTCCTAACACATAAAAGTCACTATATAAGGATAAATGGCTCATAATGATGATACTTGTTTTACATTGTTCTTTTTAACACAGTTTTAAAATTTTTATGATTGAGGTAAAAAGGGGTAAAAAAAAAAAAAAAGCAGACACACCTTTTCCTGCTTGTAAATGATATTTTCAGCTCTTGCCAAGCCCAATGCCACCTGGGACGTCCTTAGTGCATGAATATGCTCCCTCATAGCCCCAGCCAAGAAAGGGGACAAGAGCTGTACGGACCAGTTCTCCGGTACTAGATGCAAAACCCTGGCAGCATCAAACTCCAATGGGTGGTTATTTAGTAAATCCACAGCAGCCACTAAAAGTGCATTATCTGGACTGGGAGGATTGAGGTAGGTGGCTAGAAGGTGCTGGAAGAGTCGCTGGCGGTAAGGGACGTCTCTTCCTTGTGAGTTCCACACACAATAACTTTCAGCAGCAGCAAAGTCTTTTAAACGGTGAACTAAAATGTCCAAAGCCTGATCATGCTCTTCCAGTTTTCCATGTAATATGGCCCGCTCCAGGTGCAGATCTGTCCCTTTTATTTTATCTGACAGAGAAGATAAATAAAGCTTAAAGCTACTTAATAACAAAACACTTCTTTTAATAACCACAATTCCCAATATTGGCTGTAATCAGTGGTCATGCTTTAAAGTGTCCGACACTGAATAAAAAGCTTTATTAGGATGACAACCTGTGAGCATTACATTTAACAATTCAGACATAAAGAAGACAGTCTATCAGCTAAGACACAAACAGCTTAAGCAAGACTGTGATAAAATGCAGGGTACAAAGTTACAATAGACATTTCAAGTGGTTGATGGTCCTACACATCCCTCATTGTACATTCTTTAATTTGTGTGAGACGGACTATTTGTGCAAATATTGTATTTTTAATATTAAAGAATTACAGCATAGTTGCATTTGAAATCCTAAAAACGATGACTCTGCTTTTTATATGAGAGTGCCTGGAAGTGTACTCACAATTTTACAATTCTACATATGAACATATTTCACTATGACACTTTTTTCTACTTTGAATGTTTGAGAAATATTTATCACAGCAAAAATGATCAATATTATACGTCAAAGTATTCAAAAATGTATTCCCAACCTGTTTTAATCGGTGCCTGTGTAGTGTTTTATTAAAAGATCTTTAAATTTTAAGCCTTGTTTATTTTCCTGTATAGTCACACATATTTACCAATGATCAGAAGAACCCTATAAAGCTCTGACTGTCGCAGCAAGTTTTGGAGTCGTGTATGGAGCTCTATTACTTCTTTTTGCTCTGAAGAGTCCATAGACTTAAGGCGCAGGACTTCTTCCACATACAGAACAGCCAGATGTGTGTGATACTTTTCCTTCTGTCAAGAGAGGATCGGTTTATTTACTTAAAGCAGAACACATACATAAAATATTATACAAAGATAAAATGCATTTCTGGATTACTTCACTTCTATAAATCATATAATCCGGGCTTAAAGCTCCTACCCTACTTTTTATGCCTTAAATGTTCCTCACCACTGCATGCTCGGTGGATCCATGGCAGACTTAGCAGAGGTGAATTTCTACTTACCATGGAAGACGTTTATCTTGCCAATGGCTACTGGTGAGTAAATGTTGAGTTCTGACTTCTCTCAAACAGGTTATTGGGAATATTCAATATCGTAATAACGATCAAACTTGAATTGTTATGCGAGTATTTATAAAGTGATTAATAATGCATATCATGAGCAGCTGACAGCAGTTGGTACATGGAATGTTTGCCAAAAAAAAAAAAAAGATTTAAAACAGAAAATATACTTTTAAAATGTATATAATGAACAGTAAAAAATGGTGGGAACTAGAACCCCGACATGATTAGTTCACTTTCAATTCTCTGCCATTTAGGAGTTAAATCAATTTTGTTTCTGTTTATGCAGCCATAGCCACACCTCTCCTGGCTATGACTGACACAGACTGCGTGAATTTTTCTTTCTTTCCCCATTTTCAATCAGATTTTAACCCACTTTGAAGTTTGTATCTCCTGCTCTGTAAATTAAACTTTAATCACGCAAAGGAGGCTCCTGCACAGTCTATAATGCTTTTAACAGAGTAGTAGATAAAATCTAAATTAAACAGACTGTGCAATAAGTTTGAACATTAGACCTCTCGATACAGGAAGTGTTTTTGAAGGCTGTGTAAGTCACATGCAGAGGTGCAACTAGGGCTGTATAAACTAAGTTCTATAAATCCTAAATAGCAGATAATTGAGCAGAGAGACTGCAGGAGCGTGATCTATAAACCAAAACTGCTTTTTTAAGATAAAGTTGTTTTGGTGTCTACAGTATCCCTTCAAAGGCCATGTTCTCTTTCACATTCTTTGAACAACTTTCACTGGGAAACTTTCCCTACATTTAAATCCCCAGAATAAGTTTCACCCTTTAGCAGTTCCATTGTAAAAGATGACGTGTCACAATAAAGCATACCTTGCCTACCACTAGTCACGTCGGTATTAAATAATGCCAAACAACATGCTTAAGATAATGGGTTAATTCCAAGAAAAACACGAAACACGTATTCGTCAAAGTGCTTTTATTTTTCAAAAAGGTCAGAAATATTGCACAAAAAAAATAAATGTATTTATTTTTTTTGAGGCCCTTACCTGTATCCTTTTCCCCAACACTAAATGTTCCATGTATACAATTAATGCCTGCCGATATTTGCACAGATGATTCACAATCTTATCTGGACTGAAGCCATTCTGTAACTGCTCATCTGAAGACCGTTTTGTAAAAATCTGGACTCCAATCTGCAAGATATGAAAAGGGTTCAATAATGAATCTAAAGCATTAAGTGGAAATGCATAAAAAAACAACAAAAAAACAACCCCACTATAAAGTGATTCATACAACTCAATAGCAGGACCTCCCTTGCATAAAATAACATGCTAGTGAATTAAAGGGCCATTCCAGGCACCAAAACAACTTAATCTAAATTAAGTTGCTATGGTGCCAGGAGACCCCCAGAGTCACTCTTACCATAAGGCATTAAACCATTCTCGGACAGTTTAACCTCAAAATTGCCTTTAGTGGCAATGTCCACTCCCCCAGGCGGCATCTGGATTCTGAATTTTTTAGATTCAGGAAGCGTGGAGTGCCTCCGGGCAGAGGCGCCCTTGATTGCCTGAGAGTGGTCAGTTGATGCTCTCAGCCAGTGACTCCTCACTCACAAAACTGGCACTATAACAACTTCACCCAGGACATACTTGAAAACGAGAGAAATCTCAATGTATCCTTCCTGGTAAAATATTTTTTAAATACATGTTTTGGTGCCTGGATAGGCTCTTTAAAGGAACACTTCAAGCATCATAACTATTTCAGATAAACAATATATGGGTGTCCTGACACCTACCCATTTTAAGCAGTCAAAAAGTTTTAGATTGGTTCGACTTCTTACTACAGGCCTGCTGGGAGCCACTTCCTGCCCCCGCCACATTCTGTGGACACCTTGAAGCTACTAACCTGGCACTTCTGTGAGTGCGCCTGAGCCAAGCTCTGTAATACAGTGCTAGCTCATGGGCTGAGAGTATCAGCTGACCTAATCAATGCCGGACTCTGATTAGGCAGAGAGCTTCAGGCTCTCCCTAGCGAGGCAAGGACCAGTTCCACTGCAAACTTCAGGTAAGAATTCAAACTGTTCTAAAATGCACTTTAAAAATTTACAGTGGGTTATGGTCATTGGAGATTTCATTTAAAGGGGTACTTTAAATGAAATCTCTACAGCTTGTTATAGTGGCTGTGGGTGCTATCCCTTAGTTTTGTTTCAACCAGTTTTTGATTGAGTTAACAGAAACCAGAGCAGACACCAGCTACCCCAGGCACTCTTATGACATTTTGCAAATGCAGAATATATACTTCCACATCATAACTGGATGGCAGTGATATGCTGAGAGCATCTGGCCTCCATAGTCTAAATAACTAGGACCATAACTAAAATGGTCAGTAGTGGGTATTGCACTTAAAGAGCCCCTTTAAATCTTCACAGTTAACTCCCTAAGCTTCCCTTTCTCTGCTTTGTTCTAACAAAAGTTTCTATTTATTTGCCAGCCCTCTGGGACATCGATTGAGGGTCTGATACACATAAGGAAAAAAGGAAACCATAAGTGAAAAAGAAGAGAAGATAACCACATTCATGGCTCTGGGAACAGCATATAAAAAATATGATTAATCATAGAGATATACAGACATACACAAAATGGTATGTGATGTATTTACTGTTAAATAAAACGCACCAGTTTACAATAACCACAGCCAGCTCAATTTGCTCTCAATAGAACCACAAACCTGCTCACTTTTCTGTAAAACCCAATCTGTGTACTGCCACACCAGCTGCGGGTCTGTGCAAAAGGTAAGAAAGTCCACAATATATTCAAAGAGGTCGGGGCGTGTGTTATCCTCCAGATCACCATTCACAATTCTCACCCAGACCTGTAAGGGGGAAGGGAAAAACTTTTATTGACCCACATTACCATAATCAGAATTTATATTACAAATAACCAATGGCCTATTTGAAGAATACGCTATAACACTGACAAAATAGTCACAAAGCTTATATATTATATATATATATATCTCTACACACATACATACATACATACGAGAAAAAAAAAAAAAAAATATCACCACCAAACCAGATAAACACCATCCATACCGCAATCACACAGGAGAACTGCACACCACTACCAGATTGTTTCATCCATAGTAGGAAACTGTTTTGTTTTTTTAATTAAGTCATTACGTTACATTAAATGTAAGTGATAAATCAAGGATTTGCCAATATGCAATCCTTTGCACAAACTAGCTTCAAAGCAAAGAATAAATGCAAAATAAAAAAATTTAAAAAACAGTCTGTAGGGGCTGAAACAAGAATGAACAATGAACATTCCCATTTCTCTTTTAGGTTTCTGCTATATTTCTTAGTGCAAACCTTATGAAACTCTGGTACAAGATACACATATGTAATAGGAAAGTGATTGTACTAAATGAAAATGTTTAATGTTAATACATGGGACATGTGTCAACATGTGTCAGGATGTGTTCCAATTACCTCAAGTGCAGCTGCGTCTTGCTTGTTGTAGTGGTACAGGAGACCAAGTGCAAAGTATCTAAAATACAGAAAATATAAAATAGTTGTAGAAGTAGATAGCTACTTAATGAAGCAGCAAGCAAGATAAAAATATTCCTTTTGTAAAAATGAATCCTTTATAGGCGAAATACATTAACACAAAAAAAAAAAAAAAAGAGTGTAAAAAGATAGAAGAATTTTGTAATATCTAGTTAAGATACACAACTTTAAAGTGGTACTTTCACTTGTGGGGTCTTTGCATACTTTGTATAGACTCCACAAGATGACTATGTCCGCTTGCATGGTGGTGGACTGGGAGAGCAGATACGCACTGCTCTACCTCATATGCCAGGAACCAATGTCACTATTGTACTCTTGAGATACAAAATAAAGAATCTACAATGGATCCTGCTATATTCCATTGAATTTTACTTATGTGCCATATGTATCCACTGATGGGAAATGATGGCAGAAAGTCCACATTTGCCAAAGCTAGGCAATTCAGACAAAGTAGTCATTTTGTCTTATGTATAGCTTTTAAATGCATTGTAATATCAACAAAAGGAGTTTACTGTTGAGGGCGTGGCTACGACACGGACGGAGCTGGACGTGTGAAGGACTAGCTCCGTCGGACTGGGTACCTTAACAGCGTGTATCCACAGCATTGGACCGGGAAAAACGGCTGCCTCAGTTGCCAACTACCGGTGAATTACGATGACGAGCAAATCAGCCAGAAAGCAGCGGCAAAAAGCTCTCGGCCCTCTCACCGTCGAGCAGACTGATCCAAGATGGCACCGACGGGGTGCATTCACCAGCAACTGAATCAGAGGCAAGTGATGTAACCTCAGTATCTCGCCTCCAACACCCCCCCCCACGCTGATGGAGACATTAGAACCCTGCTGTATGATCTCAAATACACTATGAGAGCTGATTTTCAAAAGTTAGCGGCTGACATTAAGAGAGATGTACAGGCCATTGGGGACCGCACGGCCCATCTAGAAGACAAGATGGAGGAGGTCATAGAGGCACATAACACCCTGGCTGAGACCTATACCACGTTCAAATCTCAAATCCAACAACTGGAGACAAAAGTGGTAGACCTAGAAGATAGAGCCCGTAGAAACAACATCCGCCTACGCGGCATCTCTGAGGAGGTTACGCAACCGGACTTAAGAGGTTATGTCACCCAACTTTTTCAGGCACTGCTACCTGAGGCGTCGGAGCAGGAGCTACAGATAGATAGAGTACACAGGCTGCTGAAACCCAGAGGCCTGCCAGCGGCAGTACCTAGGGATACCATTGTCAGGGTGCACTTTTATACAGTAAAAGAGAGGCTGATGATGGCGGCGCGGGATGCGCGGAATCTGGGAGAACGCTTCAAGGAGATACAGCTATACACCGACCTATCACCAGCGACTATGGCTAAAAGAAGAGCTTTTGGCCCCATCACCAAAGCTCTGAGAGAGGCGTCCATACCGTACAAATGGGGCTTTCCGACGCGCCTAATCGCACGAAGAAATGGAGTGGAGAAGGTGTTTCTTAACCCGGAAGACGGGAGGAACGGGCTAGCACAGTGGAGCATCCCATTGCCGCAGCCAGAGTCGGCGGAAAATCACCCCTGCACGCCCAACCAGACTGGCTGGAGACTGGCTGGAGACTGGCACAGAATTGACGCAGCTAAGTGAACAACACGCCATAAACTTTTTTCTTTACTGTCACTATTTCCTTCTTTCTCCTTTGACTGAGAGGGAAGGTGATTTAGATACCGGTTGTTATAAATGTAACAGGTGAAGGAGTTAGCGCCCAAATAATAACAAAAAAAAAAAAAAAAAGAAGCAAAAAAAAAAAAATATATGATTAAAAATTGGGCAGTTTTAGCATATTTCCAGACGTTAAAAGTATACATGTACTCATGCACACAGAACTGTGGGCCGTACTACGAAGGGTGCAACACCGCGATACATAATGCCTGCCCTTTCCCTAATTTGACTTATTGATTTGGCATCTTTGTCTCGGTCTAAGGTTAACCCTGAGGATAAGGACAGTCCCCTGTGACATAGTATATTTGATAGATGGTACTATCCAACGTTCCACCCCCCAGTGGCCCGAGCCAGGCCACTACGACGTATGCAGTATACGTCACCAATACTAATTGCCTACCGTGTGCTCGGCACACGGTTCTCAGGCAACTGTATATAAGTTTTTTCTATTCTTTTGATCTTAAGTTCATATACTTTCATGTTTTTTTCTTTGTCTTGTTCGAGGGATTCATAATGCGGATACATAGGGAGGCCTGTACCCAGAGCCCCGGGGAGGGGGTAACCGACAGGAGGACTGACTTAATGGAGACTAGAATACAATCTAACAATCCTGGACAGCATAGTAGGTTGTATGTAAAATGGTGTTGACATTTATATCTTTGAACACTAAAGGGCTCAACTCCCCGAATAAACGGAGACTGGCACTATTGGAAGCGAAACGGGCTAAAGCTCAAATTGCATTCTTCCAAGAAACGCACTTCCAATGGGGTAAAAGGCCTAAATTTAACTCACCTCTCTATCCTTTAGACTTTCACTCCTGTTTCTCTAAAAAGAAGCGGGGAGTGTCGATCCTTATTGGGAAGGATGTGGCGTTTGAACTAGTAAAAAACGTACAGACAAACAGGGAAGATACTTAATTATACAATGTTTGCTGAATAATGCCCCATACACATTAATTAACGTCTATGGCCCTCATACAGCACAAGCCGCATTTCTCCTCAATATTTTTAATGCCATGGATGAAGGCAGATTGGGGGATGTAGTGATAGGTGGGGACACGAATTTCATTCTAGATACTCAACTAGACACGTCTTCTTCGCACACAGTGAAAGCATCTACTGAAACAGGCAGGAAAACAACCTCCGGGCACATTAACCAACTTCTCTTAGAGCAGAATTTTATAGACTCATGGAGGGTGACACATCCGCAAGAAAAGGATTTCACATTTCACTCAGTGGCACATAACTCGTACTCCCGAATAGACCGCTTCCTGATACCTACCTCCCTGATTAGCAACGTGGTCAACACAACTATAGGCCTTATAACGTGGTCGGACCATGCGCCGATCATTCTCCACTTGAATGAACAATTCCCTGCTAAAGGGAGAGGAACTTGGCGGCTTAACGAAAGCTTGCTCAACGACCCCAAAATATTAGAAGACCTACATAGGGAACTGGAAGTCTATTTTTCGACTAATTCTCAACCAAACACACCCACAGAAGTTACGTGGTTAGCCCATAAGGCATACATTAGGGGAGTATTAATTAAGCACGCGAGCAGGGCCAAAGCGGCGCGTATAGCTAAATACATAAACCTTACCAGCCGCCTCACAACATTAAACACATGTAATAAACAAACACCCTCAAAGACGCACCTTAGGGAGATTACGGAAGTACGTGCGCAATTACAAGAATTGGAAGTGGCTAAAACGAACTTTTTCCTAAGGCGTCTCAAAGCCAAATTCTATGAGCAAGGAAACAGAGCAGGGAAAGTACTTGCCTCCAGGCTTAAAAAACGTAGCCTCGCAACTAAAATAGCTTACGTTCACAACCCCCAGGGTCAGAAAATCGTAAACCCTGATAAAATAGTTCAGGAATTTGCTCAGTTTTACCACACACTCTATAATCTTAAAGATGATAACCTGACACCCCAACCCACACAAGAACAGATAGACGAATTTCTAGGGATGATCCAGCTACCCTTGCTGCCCAATGATAAGATATCTGACCTTATTAAATCAATTTCCGTTGAGGAAGTTACACAAATGATTAAAGATTTACCCAATTCTAAATCGCCAGGACCAGATGGACTCTCCTCCATATACTATAAAACCTTCCAAACTGCTCTTACACCACACTTAGTTTCTCTGTTTAACCAAGGTTTCACACAAGGTAAATTACCTGGTGAAATGCTACGAGCTCACATAGTCACTCTACCCAAACCAGGTAAAAAACCCACAGCATGCGCTAATTTCCGCCCGATATCCCTATTGAATATTGATACCAAACTATATGCAAAAATTCTGGCGACTAGACTCAAACATTTACTCCCCGCTCTAATCCACTATAACCAATCTGGCTTTGTCAAAGGCAGACAGGGCTCAGACAATTCTAGGCTTCTTCTTAATGTACTGGAGGGTCTCAACACTAACAAACTGGGAGGACTGTTGCTCGCATTAGATGCGGAAAAAGCCTTTGATAGGCTCAATTGGCTATACATGAAATCGGCACTAAACAAATTTGGCTTTCCTTCAGCATTCATAACAGCAATTATGGCCTTATATTCCTCCCCAGAAGCTAGTGTCACCAACGCAGGATTCGTTTCCACACCCTTTCCAATTTCGAACGGAACGAGACAGGGTTGTCCTTTGTCCCTCCTGCTTTTTATACTATGTCTAGAACCCTTAGCCCAGATCATTCGGCAGGACCCAAACATTCACGGAGTCACTGTCGGCGAACACCAATACAAACTCTCATTATTCGCTGATGACATTCTGCTGACACTGACGAGGCCAGAGATATCACTCCCAAACCTCATGCCCATCCTACAATCCTTTGGCTCTATCTCGTATTACAAACTTAATACGGCTAAGACACAAGCCCTGCCTATTAATCTCCCCTTGCAGAATGCTGAGGAATTAAAAAAGACCTTCGATTTCGATTGGAGGACGGAGTCGGTAACATATTTGGGAGTGCGAGTTGCCAAATCGATACATACTATATACAAACTAAACCATGTCCCTCTCTTAGAAATAATCCGTAAAGAGCTGAATTCATGGAAAGACTTGATGATCTCATGGGCAGGGAGAATCAACGCGGTGAAAATGATGGCCCTACCTAAACTACTGTACTTATTTCGTATGCTACCTGTACCTATCCCACAAAGCTTTTGCAAGAAAGCCCAGTCCATTATTAATAACTTTATATGGGGAAACAAACGTGCGAGAGTAGCGAGTTCCACATTGTATAGACCGTTCCAGATGGGAGGGATGGGGGTACCCCAGGTGGCCATGTATCACCTGGCGGCCATATTATCCCAAGCAGTAAATCTTCACGCAGACAAGGGACGACTACTTTGGGTCGACATGGAACGCAAACAATGGCCTAAGGAAACCCTCCTAGAGTATATGTGGTCCCCACCAGCTAAACGGGGGAAAGCACGTACACTCTTCTCAACAACGAAACTGACCATACACATATGGGATAAGTTCAAGGCACTTCAAACTAAGACTTCCAGATTCCATAGACTGGCTCCACTAACCGCCATGTCCACAGTGTTACCATGGCTCCCACTATCCACATGGGCGAAAGCGGGCATCACTAGTGTCTCCCAGCTACTCTCTGGTACGGGAATCACTCCTTTTGCTGACCTCCAACAGAAGTACAGTCTAGCCCCTAGATACATATTCCCTTACCTCCAAATTAAAAGTGCACTATTGGAGCATGTCGATAGGACCATAGAGGGCAAGGCTGGAGAACCAAATCAGCAATGCGACCTGCTTATGTCATGTTGGAAATGCCCCCTTAGGCCTAAATTGCTCTCAAAGTGCTACAAAGCAATATCGAACTTCCCACTCTCCCCATCCCTGTCATTTATGTCCCAATGGGAAAAAGAAAGCGGGACAACTCTCCTTCCCCACAAATGGCTAGCACTGGTTAATGCACTGACTGGTCATACTGCGTGCTACTCACACATGGAAGCTCACAGAAAGCTAATGTACCGATGGTATCTGACACCAGACAGGCTCAGCAAAATCTATCCAAACACCTCTGACCGATGTTGGAGGTGCCGAGCCCAAAGAGGCACGATGCTCCACATATGGTGGGGATGTGACCTTATTCAGCCATTGTGGTTGGAGGTCGCAAGATTGCTTAGCAGCGTAGATATTATTCTCCCGCTGGAGTTTGGGTCCTGCCTTTGGTTGGACCTTCCCGCCAGCTGGACGAAGCAGGAGAGGGGACTGGCCGCACAGGTGATACTGGCGGCTAGGGCTCTCATAGCGCTCAATTGGAATTCAACCATTTGCCCGTCTGCAAAGAACCTCATGGACAAAATCCGACTAAATTATGTGTATGATATCACTTCTGCGATAACTCCTAACCAAAAACATAAAATATCTAAAACCTGGGAACCTTGGTGTCGCCACTATCAATTTCAGCCTCCATAAAACCATCATCCGGCCTGAGACCCGGATCATACACACACCTGTTACTAACGATATTATATTTATTAAAAAAAAACAAAACAAAAAAAAAAACCAGGGATTTTAGCGCAGGGAACGCCTTAGATCCCCCCCCCTCGGCCTCCACCTAGATGCTGGATAGCAATCAGATTGTGTTTCCCTCATGTTAAACTGTTTTTTGTTACACTATATTCTACCTTATTTTTTCGGTTTCACTTTTTGTTTAGGAAGGTTCAGGCAGAGCATTACCTGGTCACTTGTGCAATACCTCACAGAATTCCACACTTCTCAGGGATACATAGGAGGCATTAATAGCGTAGGCAGGGAGCCCCGTCCAGTGGAGGGACAGTAAGACCTTAAAAGCAAGAGGGCCAAACCTTGAGCCCCCTTGATCCCCCCCAAACACCCTACAAGGTTAAGGTATGCGACATACAAGCAGATTGCACAACAAATAGGCTAGAAATAACTAGAGCATCGCCCTCAGCGCACGCAAGAGGCTGATAGCTACATGGCCTCATCGACGAGATACACTTGGAGGGTGAACAGTGGGGTATAGGTAGTGCCAGTTTTGACTTGGGATGAGCAGCGACTACTTTACGCCCAAATAACTGCGCACCTAGTTAGACGATTCTCTGTATTGTAACCCTGAACCCCTTACCCTACCCTTTTTTTCCTTCTGTACCCACTCCCTACTCTCCTTTGTGCTAAAAAAACAATAAACTCAATTAATAAAAAAAAAAAAAAGGAGTTTACTGTTAAGACTTATTTCATCCACATTACTTCATGCGGTGATGAAGACTAAAATGTCTCACATTAGCTCAATTGTGTGATCGTAATCTCCAATTAGACTTTATAAAAATTGTAAAGGTTTGATTTACGGACTAACAATGTATTAAAATCTTTCATATCTCACTTTTTGTGCTTTTCCAGCCAGGAGACACTGTCTGCGAGATCACATGCATTGTCTGATACCAAAAGATCTAGTAGGCTTTCATGGTCCGCTTCTGCATACAGCTTTAACAGTGCAGTATCCACATCTTCCTGGTATCCATTAGCTACCTCAGTACTGCGGATTTCACTCAGGTAACTCATAAGGAAGCGCTTGCATTTGACCACTTTCTCCTGGTCTCCTCGTGTGAGCTGGTTGAGATCCGCATACTCGTGTAGAGGTGGGTGCGTACGGATAAATGAGGAAGTAGATGGCAGCAGGAGAGGGTAAAGTGATATTAGTTCTCGGATATCAAGGTGGCTGGTTCTGTGATGACAAAAAAATCATGAACAAATTAACAAATTAATTTCACTGACAAAATCCCACTCATCTTATCTTGCTGAAGCAGTAAAGGGTCATATTTACCAGGCAGTTACTGAAACCTACCACTATCATTGCTTATTGTTTGAGTTATTAACTTGCAGTCTGTGATCATAAAATCTAAAGGACAGGATGTAACGACGTGCGGATGCGCGCACGCAACAGGAGGCAGGGTCTGGGCGGAGTAAGGCGATCAACGGCGTTCAATAGAGAACGGTCTTGAAGCTGAATGCTGACATGAGGGGTAACCTATATAGAGCAAGGGATAGTGGCCGTGGATCAAATATTCTGGCGTTAACACGGATGGGAGAGACTTGTGAGAAGAAAAGTGTAAAGTGGCTCTGTGAGAGGCAGAAAGAAAGAACATTTACAAGGGGCCTAATGAAGGAAATTGGATGAGCAAGCCCTGCACGATAAGTGTAAAATAATCTCCTTACTATCAATATAACGAAACTGGTGGTGAGCGAATTATATAACCAACTAATCTGTGAAGCCATAAAGAAACAAACGTGACTATATGGGACTAAAACTGCCAAACCAAAAGCAAACCTTTTCCATATTATAAATCAAGAGGAAAAAAAGGGAAAAGGAAGTTAAGGTTTATTACTTATTTATAGGTGTAAAGTTATTTTTTTGTTAATTTCCCGGCCTTTTCTTTCTTTTGTGTTGTGTTGTTTTGGCTCCCTGCATGTGAAATGCTTAGCCTCTTAAGGCCTGTTTTCGTACGTTAAGGACCAGAGCAGTTTTTACACTTTTGTGGTGTTTATGTTTAGATGTAATTTTCCTCTCTCATTTACGGTTCCCATACAAGTTATATATTGTTTTTTTCAGGACAAGAAGGTCTTTCTTTACATACCATTATTTGTATCATGTCTTATTTTATTTAAAAAAAATAAAAATATGGTGAAAAATTGAAAAACAAAACATACTTTTGGACTTTTACTTGAAAAATCTTTTACTTATCTACAAAAGCTAATTTAAAAAACAGTATATATATATATATATTAAATTTATCAATAGTGACATTGTAACACCGTTATCGGTCATAAATCCCCGAATCACACCTCACATGTACATATTTTATTTAAAGTAGACAACCCAGAGTATTCAAAATTTGGTATGTCCAGTCTTTTTTAGTAGCAACCGAGTCAAACACTGGCCAAAGTTAGCATTTATATTTGTTTGTGTGTTAAAAATGCAAAAAACGCTAAATTTGGCCAGTGTTTGTGACTAAATGGCTACTAAAAAAGGCTAATTCTCATTCCTGGGCTACCATACGCTTTCAAAAGCAACCTAACCAATATGACAAATTTAAAAAAAATAAGAAATAAAAAATTTCACTTTCACTGACAATATCATCACTGTGATATGTTTTACTGTTTTGAAATACTAATATTTGTGTTCAGCGAAGTCTCCCGAATAAAACAGGTTTTAGAGTGTCATAGAAAGTTACAGGGTTAAACACAGTGCTAGCAAATTAAATTCTCTGGACTTTCGGCCTGGGTTGGCAGGCAGGTCCCTCAAATTGCGATCATTAAAAATTACTTAATTAGGTAAAAATATTACATAAATACGTACGTAGAATTTTAATATATTATATGTGTGTGTATATATATATATATATATATATATATATATATATATATATATATATATACACACACACACATACATACATATTTAGATATTTGACGTCTACGTGTATATTTAATGAAATTATTTATGAAATTATGTGTATGGACATATGTATTATTTTTATTTATTTATACATAGATATATATATATCATTACATTCTAAGTGTATTTTTATATAAATATATTAATATCAAAATACTGTTAGAATAAAATTACATATATATAATTGTTTTTAATTATTAAAAATTATTTTTACTTTATTTTTAATAACATTTATAATTATATATATATATATATATTTTGTATATATACACACACACACACACACACACGTGTGTAATTTAAATTAAAAGTGTATTTTTATATTAATATACGTATATATAAATACACTTAGTATGACATTATATGATATACATACATATATTATATATAGATATAATACATGTGTGTGTGTGTACATACACACACACTTTTTTTTTTTTTTAACACCGATTGCTTTATGTAACTTTTTTTCAGATTTTCTACTTGCAGGGAGACTGCCTGTCAGCACAGACCGTCCCCCTGCAGGCAGATACATAGGCACCTATGGCCACGGGGTCTTGATCTGCCGAGGGGAGACTGCCTAGGCAGACCCCCTGGACCGGGAGGAGCGACGGCGATCAGGTAAGTTGCCCCAGACTGTTATGACTGTTCAGGACTGTCATCGGTCCCCAAGGGGGATTTTTCCGATGACGTTCCTGAACCGTCATCGGTCGTCAAGGGGTTAAACATGAAGCACCAACCTGCTTTTTATAAATCAAGAGGTGAAATAAATAATATATATGGCCTAGAGTGAACAAAGTTTTTTTTTTGCGGTTTAAAAACTAAAAGTAACTTAACCAAGTAGACCAAATATGGCCACCTTAAAAGAACACTATAGGGCCAAAAAAAAAAAAAAAGTTTTCCTGGCACTACAGGGTTATAAGGTCTCCGCCCCCGCCTCGGGGACCCCTCCCGCTGGGCTGAAGGGGTTAAAATCCTTACCTTAATCCAGCCAGGGCTCCCTCAGTACTGGTGACCTCTCCTTCCTCTGCCAAAGTCCACTCCACGCGTGCATTCAAACCGCCCACAGGAAAGCATTACTCAATGCTTTCCTATGGGGATCTAAACTCACGCTGCGTGTGTTCAATGTGATTTTCTCACTGAGAACCGCTGAAGCGCCTCTAGTGGCTGTCAGGGAGATAGCCGCTAGAGGCTGGATTAACCCTGCAATGTAAACATAGCAGTTTCACTGAAACTGCTATGTTTTCAGCTGCAGAGTTAAAACTAGGGGGACCCGGTACCCAGACCACTTCATTGAGCTGAAGTGGTCTGGGTGCCTATAGTGGACCTTTAGTGTCCTTTTTTAGATCTCTTAATTTTTTTTTGTGTATCTTTAAACAGGATAAAGGAGTCTTATCATTCTTTCCTCCACAATCCAGTTAAGAACAACAAAATAAATCTAAGGCAGAAAGCCCAATACTGGATGAATCGATAATAGAAGAAGGGAGAGACTCCTCTGTTAGAATTTATCAAATTTAGTTTGGAACAGCAAACAGAAACATTCAAAAAAAGAGATCAAATTAAAACAACAAATAGAGGATGTAGGGACAAAGATAATAAAGATTGAAGAAAGATACGAACAAATGGAAATCCAATATAAAATGGTGGCAGACTCACAAAAGGAAATGGAGGCAGAAATCAAAATACTTGAACAGAAAATGAATGAATGGTAAGACAAAGCTAGAAGAAAGAACATTCGCTTAAAAAATATCCCAGAAACGATTAAATATGATAAAATAACATTTTTAAAGGATTTTTTTTTTTTGCCGGTCTAAATATTGATATGGGAAACCAAGATATGGTGATAGACTAGGTCTACAGAATAAGAAAACCGCAGAACATCCCTGAAGCAATACAAAGAGATGTCATAGCAAGAATATTTTCTTTTCAACTAAAACAGGTTATGCGAGCCAGTAAAGAAAAAGTCACTTTCAATGAGAGATTCAACAATATTGCGATTTATCTAGACTTATCACCATATATAAGAACATGGAGAAAAAGATTCAGTGATACTTTAATCCCTCTTAAACAACACAAAATAAGATAACGCTGGGGAACATCAAAATCAATAATGGTATTTTGGAAAGATACAAGGAAAGTATTTTATGAACCTAAAGAAATAGAAGTCTTGACAAAAGAGAACGCCTTATGAGCCTATAATTATGGAGGAGGAAGACAGAAGGAAAGAAGTAAGGAGAGGGAAAGGAAAAAGAAGGGAGAAGAAAATATATACAATTATTAAGGAGGAAAAGAAAGAAGAAAGTGGAGAGAAGATTCAATGTATATCACGTTTTACTAATCAAATAAGGGATCCCAATTGTAATTACGTGTAATATAAATACAAGAAATAGAGATGACAAAATAGAGATAGGGGAGTATACACAAACAAAATTTCAGTTGTTATAGTAGAAACAGCTTTAAAGAACACAAATATAATTATAAATGCATGGTCAATGGACTGGATAGAGAACATAAGGCATGAAAAGGTTGTAATGAACAGTGCATATTAGTGCTACCAAGTGTAGTAAGTGAAAAATAAAAATTAGCTCAATGAGTGTTTCGGCATGTCAGCACGCCGTCATCAGTCGAGCTATTTGAGCTACTGTTGTAGCCTGCATATCCTAGGTGGGGATAATTGCACCAACGCTCTTCATACCAAAGCAGGCCATTGCTCTGCATATTGTAAGTAGGATACCGCTTTTTATTCTTTACTTTGCGTATATACATACTATACCATAAGACCTTTCTATTGTGTTTTCTCATATATACTGGACGGAAAGAACTACCAAGCAAAGTTACAAATATCCATAGTCGGGGATTGTACCGTCCAGGCGCATTACAGCAGAGCTCTTAGCAGCTCTATCTATTGAGAGTTTGCACACTATATTTATACCTTAAATAGTTTAAATAACGGTTACACATATTTTGTCCATTTTGGGTTTCCTTCAAGGTTATAGAAACCATCCTACCTCAGCGTATGTAGATTGAGCCAACTGATGTAATTATAATTAGGTTATATACTTCTGCTATATCTTATTGCTTTTGGGTGCGGTCTATCACCTTGTTTTTTGTACTCAATTGTATACGTTGGTCAACCTTTATCTCCCAAATATCTTACCAACTATCTGCTAAAGGAGTGTTATAGAGAAAATAGAAAAAGTTAAAATGGGTACTTTGATTATGGCCAAATTTTAATTGTGTCCCAGAGGTGGTAATGGTTAAAAAGACCAAAGATAATTGTTAGGTTAACAAACAAATCATTAAACAATCTAATGCTTTAAAAAATATTATGAAAGAAACTAACTTACTAGATATATATACACACACACACACATTTTATTATATATATATATATATATATATATATATATTTTACACACACACACACACACACACATATATATTTGAAATGGAACGTATGAATTAAAAATTTTGAAAGGCTGAAACGGATTATGAAAAAAAAGGAACAGGTAATGATAGAATACATTGTATTGAAATAGCTCAAAATAAATTTATGACCCCAGAAAGTATAGCTAAAGCATTTCAAAATTATTACTAGCTGTACAATATACCAAATCAATCAGGGGTACAACAGATTACAAATTATTTAAAGGATATGAAAATTCCTAAGATAAAGCAAAACAAAATACTTAACTCCCCATTAACAAAAATAATAATGACAAAAGCTATAGAAGGATTAGCGAATTTTAAAACGTCTGGTCCAGATGGTTTGACCAACAGGTTCTATAAAGTGTTTAAGGAAGTTATAAGTGAGCATTTAGTTAATTTGTTTCATAAAGTGGTTACTAGGGGCATAGGACCAAATATCATACCGCTGTTAAAGATAAAAATCCACAAATAATTAAATACTACCACCCAATTTCTCTAATTCATGTGGATTCCAAGTTTTTCTCTGCAATTCTGGCAGACAGGATAAAGATGGTTATTTCGAACTTAATTCAGGGACCAAATTTGTTTAATTCCAAACAGACAAGCCTATTATAACAACAGACGTTTGATTGATATAATGGATAGGGGTGAACTTAATGAGATTCCCCTTCTGCCCCGGTCACTGGATGCAGAAAACACCATTAACGGGGTTGGATGGGGATATATGTTTTTTTAGGTATTGGAGACATTTGGTTTCTGTGGATGGATGTTGAATGCAATAAAATCAATATGTAAATGTCCAACTGCTAGAGTAGTGGGAGTGAATCTTTGTTCTGAATGGTTTGATATGGTTTGATTTACATAACGGTACCCGTCAAGGTTGTCCTTTATCACCAATTTTATATATATAAAATGTTATCTATGGAACCATTCGCTACAAAAAGAAGATCTAATTCACTTATTAAAGGTGTGCCAACAAGCTCAGACCATCTTAAATTATGTTTGTATGCTGATGAAACTCTAGTTACCTTGACCTTCCATCAAATTTAGTAAGATCTCAAATTACAAAACATTGAAAAGAGGACAGCTCTCTGTATGAATATAGATCCAAATTTGAAATAGAATATTTTAAATACTTATAACTTCATTGAAATGAAGGATGCATTTAATTATTTGGGAGCTATGTTCCCTAAAAAATTGGATAGGATTGCAGAAACTAATGTATTGAGGATTATAAAAACTACTACCAGCATTACTCTGAAAAAAAGGGGCAGTGTGATGGCAAATTGGTTAGGTAGAATATCGTAAACGCATACATTCTCCCTATATGGACCTTAAACCCCTTAAGGACACATGACGGACATATTCCGTCATGATTCCCTTTTATTCCAGAAGTTGTGTCCTTAAGGGGTTAAAATGGTACCTTTGACAATACCAGAGTGTTGGTTAGATCTCATTCAAAGAAGAAATTTCACAAGGAAAAAACCTTGGATAGGATTAAGGTGCCTAGGAAATAGAGTGTATCAAGGAGGAGTAAAGTTCCCCAATATAAAAAAAAAACATTATGAAGCCAGTAGGATATACCACGTGAATATGTTAACTAAAACCCCCCCACCCACCCCAAAAAAACCCGACAACATCGAGTAACGAAGGGTGGTTTAGAATGGAATTGGAAACTCTGAATAGGTCTGAGTTGTACAAACTGATTTGGCATAACATAAGGTATTTAAAGGTTGAAACAAATAAACAAGATAATGGTACATATTCTTACAATACGGTACAAAATTAGAAATAAAACTCTGTGTACAGATAAAATATTTGGTTTTATGGAAATAGAGACATTAGAATAACTCATCCAAGATTTATCTCTAGCAAAGTGGAAGGGTAGGAATATTAATACCTTGGATAAGATGAGTGGGAGAATTATTAAACCTTTCTCTTCTTTAGTCTCAGAGTACAATATTCCAAATTCCAAATATTTATTAATTAAGGATCAAATAGTATTTATCAAAATAAATGTTTAAGGGATCAGAAAGAGAGTATAATCTTATGAAACAAGTGTTTGACCCAAAAGTTAAAGTAAAGCTACTGGCCAACTGTTATGATTTAGTAATGAGAACCCTATTGGAGGAAAAATCTAAGGTGATTCTAAAATGGGAAAAGGAACTTAATGTTAAAAATCAATCTTAACGAATGGGGTAAAGCATTAGTTGGAGTCAATAAACATTCACAATTTATCATTGAGAAAAACCTTCTATAAAGTAAGCAATAGATGGTATCTTGTTCCTACGTGATTCGCTAAAAATACTTCAAGATTTTGTTGGAGTTGCGATAGGTAGAGAGAGAGGGAGGGACACACACACGTTGTCCGAAAATTAAAAAAATTACGGGAATGGGTTGAATGAGTTTTTGATCGGTATGGATCAGATTAAAATAGAAAGTAAGCCTCAAACGGCTCTTTTGCATTTGTTCTGGCCCACCATAAACAAAACTCAATACTATCTTTTAGTACACTGCAGTTAAAGTTTTAATAGCAAGAGAGTGGAAACAACGATATGAAATACAAAAAAACTAATTATTTATCAATTAAAGATGGAATATGGCATGGGTTGGATAAATAATTACCCTTCCAAAAACAATAATATAAGGGAACAATGTCTTCAAAAAGCACTAGCACTTTTATAACACAATTATAATACGCCTATATTATCACACAAATTTAAAATAGATAATTAAATCACTCTTTGAGAATCCAGCTTAGGAAGGGAAAGTCCTCACAGACTCTTATGTAATGTTGGTTAAGTATGTGCAATGTCTAATAAGGATGTATGCTGGATGTAATAATTGTACTGTTTGTATATTTATGCAATATAAAATAAAAATACTAAAGGACAGAGCATATAATGTCTACATAGATTATTTTGAAATACACACAATGCAAATACTGCAAGCTGACATAACCCACACAAGGCTTAGTAATAAAACAATGTCAATTCTGAACATATTTCTGCTATCTACGCTATTTCGGAATAATAACGTACTATCAGAATCTAATGGTGCTGATTAGGTAATTAGATTGAATGTATGAGGGTACTTCTAGCGTTATGAGTTTTCCCATACACTTCATGTAAGAAACCAGAGCTACACCAATAACACAAAGCCAAAAATAAAATAAAGCCAACTTAACTGACTGCCTCATCTGCATAGCCCACATATGTAACTGCGTGTAAAGCTATGTAATCAAGTCTCAAGGTATTAAGAAACTGCTCTACACAGTAGATCAGGGAAGCGGTGAGCTCCTAACCCCTAATTTTATGGCAAGACAGGAGGCTTCATATTTGCTTATCTTTCTTTACTGTAACTCCCAGCAGCAAAGAAATGGTTAACAATGTTGTATGGAAAAATCAACCAATCATAACATATCTCAACTACAATATAGTGTCATCAAACTCCTCCCACTTCCTCTTTCTTTGCTGCTTGCCTCCCAGGTGAGTCTGCTCCAATTGCATTGCTTTACTGGTTTAAGTTACTTCAATATTTATTTAATCTTGTTACTTACACACATATACCTCATCTTAACAAACTTTATTTTTTTGATTTACTCATCTTCCCCTTTAAATATTTTCTTCTTTCTAACCTCACATATATATTATTTTTTCACTGTATTTGTATTATTGGATTGTTCTCCTTTAAAATTTTACGTCCTACCGGATTTTTTCTCTGAACGGAGGGTTTTTCAAACCCTGCCGCTTTCAATCAGCTGGCCGCGGCTTTTTTTCTCTCAGGGAGAGCCGCGGCCCATTCTCTCTTTCTCCTCAGCCGCGGACTCCATTTCCCAGAGTCCGCGGCTGCTATTTCCCGCCCTTATCCTTCCTCCCGCCTACTAGCGTCTGTCTCTTGGACGCAGGCTTTTTCCCGCCCTTTTCAACGGCGGCAAGCTCGCGGCGGCCATTTTCAGCCCCAGAGTAACTGCCAACGGCACAAGTTCTTTTTCAAATCCTGTGGGTACAGAAAATCATATCACTGACTAGCTTGTGGAAGGTAGGTTGCTGCCATCTTATCTCCACCTCCTTTCATATACTCATTAAAAAAACGATCACTATACTGATCTATCTCCTATTTGTTTTTTCCACAGGCTTTGCCTACACAGGACCATTCTATTACAATCTGGGTGAACCCCTTTCCCTAATTTGTATAATTACAGTGTGGTTTAATTTTATAAATTTTGTGTGATTGCCTTTTATTGCCCTTCTGTGGGTGACCCCCACTTACTTATTTAAAGTACATATTCTGTACAATATCTGTGTGGTTGATACCACCTACTGAAACACTGCTGTGTTAATATTTATGTGGCTAACCCCACCTGATATATTTTTGTGGGTGACCCCCATTGTTTACTGTACATTATATATACACATTATATATACATTATATATATTTATTATTAGTGTAAATTTATAGTGGTGACCCCACCTCAGTAATTGAACAATATATCTTTTGTTCACAATCTCTATTATTGGGTGATCCCCATTAATTGCCCTTTACTATTTTATTGTGCCAAGCATTTGTGGGTGACCCCCATTGAATTTGACGTCTCGTGGGTGACCCCCACATCATACTTTCTAATTGAGTTGCCTCATCATTAATTGACATTCTAACGCTTATAATCTATATATATATAGATAGTTGTTTTATAGGGTTTACATTTACCTTTAAATTGACATTATGTCAGATCGCCAAGACCCTGCGATTTCTGCCGAACTTAAGGAATGGCTTTTCTCAACTATCGCAGAGTCCATTCCTAAGGCTCTGGCAGCCTACCATGACCGTAATCCAGAGGTACACCCCTCTACTCAACAACCCTCTGATTCTGAGGATTCCCATATCTCCGACCAAGATAGCGCCCCGCGCAAGAGACCCTGGAAAGGGAATAGCGCTACTGCGGGCAAGGGCAAAGCTCCTGCTAAGGTCGTTAAACACTCTAACCCACACGTTTCGCAGGCTACTACAGACCCTCTAGAGGGTTCTACTTCACATTTGTCTGGCCATATTCTAAGTGACTATGACCCTAATTACTCTGATGAGGATCCCATGGTGAATGTGCCCCAGGATTCCTCAACATCGGAGTTTGTGAAAGAAACCTTCCTAAGTCAAGATCACAAGAGTAAGGTACCTGACTCAGACACCCTCCTGGATGCTTCAGGCCTTCCCCTTTTTGACCCAAGGGTGATACGCCACCCGCGCTCAGCAGAATGGGCTTCCCCAGATCATATTGCTAATTTCTGTAAACTGTGGCTTCGCAAGCCTCTCGAAAAAGAAATCAGAAACAAACTAAGGGCTGAATGCCCGAGACCAACTATTCCAGGCAAAGTTGCCTCTACCCCTGAATTTGACCCCATGCTGGTCACCTATTTAACAAAATCTGGTAAAGACCCTCGTAAGGGTATTGAACAGGGTTTGAAAGCAACCCAAGACAAATTATTGGACATTTCAGGTCCTATCATACAGATATTCATACTCGCAGATGAGGCACTCACCAGCGGTGAACTTGATCCGCACATTATAAGAGAATGGGCACAGAGAGCCCTTTGCCTTTTGGGCAACGCCAATACGGCTATTTCAATTGAGAGACGCAAAGCGGCACTGTACAAAATCGATGCCAAACTGGTGGATTTGAGCACTAAAGAACTAGGCCCAGAGGCCGATGGTCTTTTATTTGGTAACAGTTTCATGCGAGACCTCTCCAAGCATGTCTCAGTTTTTACCACACTCAATAAAGCCCAGTCCTCCCTACGTAGGGTGTTCCGTCCCACTTTTCAAAATCGTTTTTCTGGGAGAGCTGGTCGCTCAAGGGGCCGAGCTACCAGTAGAGCAGCCTTTTCAGGCTACAGGCCCCGACCCACAGAGTATTGGTCCACGGGATACTCACGACCCTACCACAGGCAGCTGTTCAACACCAGAGGCTCAATTCGAGGACGTGGCTCTGCATCCCTGCGCGGACGCACTGCTTCAGGTAATGGACCTTGCTTATTTAAAAACTGTATCAATCGCAGGTCGATTAACATTCTTTTTCCCACAGTGGAAACTTCTTTCTCAGGATCTTTGGATCCTTCATACAGTCACAGGTTTCAAAATAGATTTTATCACACATCCAGTTCAATATTCTCACCCGACACCCTTAGGGATGTCAAAGGCAGATACTCTAACCTTGAACACAGAACTGACAAAATTGTTACACAAAGGGGCGATCGAACCTTCGCCTTTCCCTTGCACCTTCCTCAGCAATATATTTCTGGTTCGGAAAAAAACGGGGGACCATCGTCCCATTATCAACCTCAAGGCATTGAATCGCTTTATCACATACCGTCATTTCAAGATGGAAGGTATCCATCTTCTCAGGGACTTGCTCTGCATGGGAGACTGGTTCTCCAGATTCGACCTCAAAGATGCTTATCTGACGGTCCCTGTAGCACCAAGTCACCGTGCCTTCCTCCAATTCCGTTGGCAAGGCGACATTTGGCAGTTCACCTGCCTCCCTTTTGGACTTTGTTCTGCTCCATGGTGTTTCAGCAAGTTGATGAAACCAGTCATGGCGCTCCTTCGTTCTCAGGGCATACGTTCAATTATATATTTGGACGATATCCTGATCATGGCACAAGATCAGCAATTACTTCGCAAACACACACACATGACCTCTGCCCTCCTTCAAAACCTAGGTTTTGTCATAAATTACCAGAAATCAGATCTGGTACCTTCTCAAATAGTCCAATTTTTGGGTTTTCAGATAGATTCAGTTCAAGCAACTCTACAATTACCCTACTCCAAAATCAAAAACATAAAGCGAGAGATTCAAAAATTACTCAAGTCACAACGACCTCGACTCCGCGACCTAGCACACGTGCTGGGTCTTCTGTCTGCATCAATTCAGGCTATTTTTCCAGGGCCCTTGCATTACAGAGCAATGCAACGGCTGAAAACCTCCTATTTACATCGCTCGACCTCCTACGACCAATTCATTTCCCTAACGGACGAAGTTCTCATCGAACTTCACTGGTGGCTTCGCAATATGGAAGCCTGGAATGGGAAAGCGATTTTCGGATCTCAACCAGATTTTATTCTGGAATCCGATGCCAGCCTACTCGGTTGGGGCGCTACGTGCGCCCAATCATACACAGGAGGTCTCTGGTCCCCGTCGGAACGAGCACTTCACATAAATTGTCTCGAGCTCATTGCCGGATCCTTCGCGATCCGCAGCTTTGCCAAAGAAGCCTCCAACTGCTCTCTGGTACTTCGGATGGACAACATCTCCGCAGTACGGTATGTAAACCGTCTCGGGGGGTCCAAATCGAAACTACTGTCAGACCTCACCAAGGATCTGTATCAGTTTTGCTTAGACAGGAATCTGTCTATTCGGGCCGAGTATCTCCCAGGACCCGACAATTTAGTCGCGGACTGGTTCTCACGTCACTGGAGGGATGCCAGCGACTGGCAATTAGATCCTCTTCTATTTCACCACATTCACCTATTGCGGGGACCGCTCACTCTCGACCTCTTCGCGTCTCGGCTGAATCGTCAAACAGACGATTATTTCAGCTGGTTACCAGACCCGCTATCCCTAGCTGTCGACGCTTTTCTCCAACATTGGCCACGGGACGGAGCCTATGCCTTCCCTCCCTTCTCCATGATTCAACGTACTCTCCACCAGGTCAAATCACAGGGGGTCAAGATTGTGATAGTTACCCCTCTATGGCGGGCCCAGACGTGGTTCCCCACTCTTCTGGAACTTTCCACAGACTACCCCATCATTCTACCTCGCTCACATCGGGTTCTCAAGAACTCGACGGGCGACTACCATCCACTAGCTCTACAGGGCCACCTTCAGTTAGTGGCCTGGACAGTTTCAGGGGTGCTTGGCATGTCACAGGACTTTCAAGCACTGCTCAAACACTCCTATGGGATTCATGGGCACCAGGAACCAGGCGCACCTATCTCGCCGCATGGCGAGTTTGGGTCAGCTGGTGTCTGGAGAGGGATTTCGATCCCGTTTCAACATCTCTCTCAGCCATTCTAAATTTTCTATCATTCCTTTTCGATCAGGGTAAATCATACCGATCAATTAATGTTTTTCGTTCCGCCATTTCGGCGGGACATGACCCTATTGATAATTCCTTAGTTGGGAAACATCCTTCTGTGTGCAGACTTTTACGAGGCATTCGTTTGACGAGGCCACCTTCTGCCAAATACTCTAGCTTCTGGGACATATCTCGGGTCTTCGCACTGTTAGAGTCCTGGCCTCCTAACGAGGCCTTATCTCTTCGACAGCTCTCTGCAAAATTGGCCCTGCTACTGTGCCTGGTGTCATTCCGCAGAGTTTCTGACGTTCACGCTTTTGATTCACACGCCGTCTCCTTCCAACCAGAAGGGGTCCGATTTACGATTACTAGGCGCACTAAGACGAATTCCTCGTCTGTCTTTTACCCATACTTTCCCGACAGGCCGGCTCTCTGTGTGGCTACGTGTACTCGTTGTTACACAGAGGCAACTGCCGCCCTACGTTCTCCTACCGGTCCTCTTTTCATCTCTTATGTCAGACCTCACAAACCGGTCTCTTCTCCCACTATCGCTCGCTGGATAAGATGGTTACTTATCCAAGCGGGAATCGATAGTTCATTTGGGGCCCATTCGGTTAGGGGAGCGGCCGCTTCCTCTGCCTTTCGGGCCGGCAGTTCATTAGCAGATATTTTGTCCTGCGCAGATTGGTCAAGGGAATCTACCTTTCGGACTTTTTATTTTAAACCAACACAAACACATGCGGCTTGTTCTATTATTCGAGAGCGTTAAAACAGCAAATATGAAGCCTCCTGTCTTGCCATAAAATTAGGGATTATTCTAGCTTGTAGTGAACGAATAATCTGAATTTTATTAAAGACAGGAGGCGAATATTTTCCCTCCCTTCGTTCACTCCGGAACCCACCCTCGAGGTAAGTCTCATAATCACTAATTAATGTATGATACCATTATTTACATACAAATCTGCTATATACGATTTGTTCATCTTGTGGTCCTACACCTCTCTCATAGAGTGCTGATGGATCGTTATAATTTCGATTACTCTGTCAATTTGTATGAACTATAATTGGAAATAAGGGGTTCAACTATATATATATATATTTTTTCTCTTGTCCGAGAAACCTTACTTTCACGAAGTCTCTTTTCTTCTAGTGTGAAGATCTCAAGTTTATTCGATCAACTTTCCGTTTACATGGTTGACTTCATCTCGAGTTTCAGCTTCGGGAACTGTTCCGGTTAAAGTTTACATGGTTGACTTGCTACTGACTGGCAACATCAAGAAAGAGGAAGTGGGAGGAGTTTGATGACACTATATTGTAGTTGAGATATGTTATGATTGGTTGATTTTTCCATACAACATTGTTAACCATTTCTTTGCTGCTGGGAGTTACAGTAAAGAAAGATAAGCAAATATTCGCCTCCTGTCTTTAATAAAATTCAGATTATTCGTTCACTATAAGCTAGAATAATCCCTAATTTACTCAAGCCAAGCTAGCCATTAACGGAATGCTGGGACCAAAGCCTACTTCTAGAGTGCAGAGATCTGTAATTTAGCAGCATTTAGGAAATGCTAAGAAAATTGACTTTTTATATTTGGATATTGGTAATTTTGAGTTTTTTGGGGTGGAATATACTTTTATCAAAACAGAGGCTAAGTCTACCTCAGGTCTACCTCATATGCTGCATGGAGCCTACAGTCCCAAACATTTATTAGAATGGACAGCTGAAATCATGTGCATCCACTGAGTGATTCTGCAGCAATGAGACAATATTTTACAAATGTCTACATTCAAATTAAAGTTCATTGTGATTAGATGGTAACAAAAAAAAGCACTATTCATTTGTAAAGGACACGTCATGTTCACCTTCCCATACAAACTGGACATTTCCAAATGCAGTAAGTGGCAGATATTCAAAATACCTCTCCCTCAACAGAGTACTGCTTAAACATAGGGTGTATATAGAAGTGTAAACGCCGTTGACAATAATATCTGAAAAATTCTAGGAAGGTCGGCAATCCTCATCTATCAAATTTTCCAAGACAGATTCCTAATCCTTAGAGTCCTAAGGCAGAACAAATTCTGAAGACGAACAGGTCTGCAATTCAGTCAAACCAATGCAGGTGTGGCATCTCGTGAAACCGTCACTTCAAACAGGGTTGTATTTTTTTTTTGTTTTGTTTTTTAGAGTCAGCATTATTTCCATAGGGCCATAATATACACTTATTGTGTAACATTGAGGTCGGCTTGTTTTAAAAAACTAGGCTTCATGTATCCGTTTAAAGAGAAATCTGTAAATCAGAAACTAGTAGCTAGTTACCTGAACAATTCTTTTGCTTCTAGAAACTGTAGCTGAGCAAATTGTATAAATCCAGCCTGTTGCAGGATTCTTCTGTACATAACCTGCACAAATAAAGAGAATGTTATACATTCTACCTTACACATCTTATGTTTATACGTTATACTTTGTGGACATGATACAAAAAACAAAACAAAAAACATTCCAACTCTTCTGCTCTTTGTAGGAAAAGGGATAAATCAAAAATAATATGTAACAAAACACTATACTATACAAGCAATGCATCCAGTGACATTAACATTGTCCATCAATCTCCTGGAGAGGAGAGCAGATGGGGCAGATTGGCTTGGGTTACCAGGTCCACTACAAGTCTACTGTTGACATCCAGCATTGCATTGCTCTGTAACAGGTAAGAAATCAGATAACTAATCAATGCAGGTCAATTTGAGATTCAGCCTTAGTAAATGAATGGTATTTTCCTTCCTGAAGTCATGTGGAGGGACAGGTGTCTAGGTAAACACTGAGCAAATCTACCCCGATACACAGCACCACAAACAGAAAGCACCTATATACAGTCACAAATATGTGTTAGATTTGTGACTGTTCCAGTTCCACCAATGTCTGCCACTGAGCATTAACAAGGTGCAATGTATTAAAAGTCTTATAGTAACTCAAATTAATTTCTCAATTTGTTCTATTTATTTTATAAAAGCACATGTTAAAGTGGCCACACATATTTGGTAAAAAGACTTGATTAGAAAAATAAAACAAAACCCAACAACTTTTGCAACGAGTACTAAAACATAGTAAACGTACACATGTATACATACACATGTATACATACACTGCACTAACCTAAAAGCTAATCAAGTTATTTTACACAGTGTACCTTTTGGTACATCTCTAGTACCATACTCCTCACGTGGGAAAAACTACAAAGGTGGCCATTGGCAAAGGATGCACACAACCATTTGCATCTATTTCTTGGAGTAGTCACAGGTAATCCAGGCAAGTGTCTCTTCTAATAATTAGATTTGTTGATCATTTTCACAGCAAAATGTATAGTCACCTATACAATTTTAAGAAAGCTGTCCAGTCAATGGAACATAAAGTCTCCCTCATTTCCCTAAGATTAGAAACTAACCTGGAATTTCTCCTTTGGAATGTTCTGCCGAGCCCCCTTGGCCAACACCAAGGCTTCTTCGACTCTCTGGCTTGACAGGAGGTCCTGTATCTGTTTCTCCAAAGGTAAGGGAAGTAGAATGTATACCCCATTAGCCGTTGCCGCAATTACCCTTCCTTTAAAAAAATAAACAAAATAAAGAAAGTGTGTGATGGAATTTTTTGAGTAACTCAGACTAAGAATCTTCTCTGTGCAAAACTAAATTCACATTCAATTTTAGGAGAGGTACATACAGGAGATATAGATCATTTTAATTAAACACAAATGTTGTTTTAGTTAGATTGATATTTCCTTCCATTGTGGTAGCAGAGGTTCGCAAGTAACCTTTTTATTTACTTCATGGCCACCCTACTAATGCATATTTTGAAAATGTTACATCACTGGCAGGGAGTGTTCTTCACAAAGGGAAGACACCAATTTAGAGACACCATCTTCAAAAAAGCACCCTCCAGGGTAGTATCCAGTCCAGTCAAAAAAAATATTGTGTTCAATTAAATTTAATTTTAATAATCTGGTCCTGAACACATTCCTCTGAATGGTATCAAAGCTTTCACATTAAAAATAAATCAAGTAATAGAACAACACTAATTAAGGTATCCCAGAAAGTATATAATTGCAAATATCGTAATATTCCTCTTTAAATGATAGCCTTACATCATTCATAACCAGTACAGGTTGCTGGCTGAATGCTATTTTTTAATCATGTCCCAGAACCTTTAGGTTTTCATGCAGGACAGGACTACAAAATGTAAAACTCCTACAGTAATATTTGTCATTGGGCCTAAAAGGGGTAACAGTAACATAGGATCTTCAGGCCTCACTTCACACTCAAACTCAGTGAAGCACTGCATTTTACATCCTGCAGAAAATCCTACCACTCTCAGGTACTGACTGAATCTTGGAAAATACTCCACCTCATTTATTCTGTTACCATGTTATGTGTCACTATAGTTTTGTTACCATTTATACCTGTAGTTTGCCACTGTAATTTTCTGTGCATGCAGTTTGTACTATTGTCATTTAATGTTTCTGACCAATATTTCATGTACACAGTTATTAATATTTTGGGTGATAGAATTTGGTTGCTAAACTTTTCCATAGTATATAACACATGGCTACTCTACCCTCCTCACTTCACACTCAAACTCAGTGAACCACTGCATTTTTTCTCCCCACTTCCCGCCCACCCAGGCTCCCCCTAAATATATAGCATGCTCCTCCAGCTGTAAATAAATAGGATGTTAGGTGTACTGTACATGAAAACCACTATTCTATGTTGGTTGACATTGACTGTTTTTGAAATACCAGATCTTGCACAGATTTCTGTTCTCAAAGGTCATACATTGACATATAGTGGAAGGAAAGCCAATATGGGTTACTCTGCCTATTGTTCAGCTCACATTTTATTGAAAGAAAGCACAGCAATGGAGGTAATGGAGCATCTGCCAAGGGAATTATCAACTAAGAAATATAATTCTCTCCTCTGGGTCTTTAAATCAAATCTTTATTTTCGGTGAGTGACAGAAAGTTCTTAAGAAACCTTACTAAAACTGAGAATCTGTTTACTTCTCAGAAAACCAAATGCAACCAAGGTTTCAAAATTATTGGTTTGTAGAAAACTTTTTTTCATTAGCGTATATACAAATCTGAGTATCATTATTAAAAAGGTGGAGAATGGCTTGGGTGATGCCAATGTCTACTTAAGTGGCAACAATCATGCAAAATTTGAGTGGGGGTTTACTTTGCTATCTGAAAAAATGTCAAGATATTTGTAATCTAGTACATTTTACACACGACCTCCATTTTGTGGTGATGTTTTCTTTCTTCCTAGTCACTCCCAAATGAGCTCATATAATAATATGCGCGATCCCCCAAAAAGGACTAACACAATGCACATCTACAGTGCGGTGCGGTCTCTTACCTAGGAGAAATGTAACGGTATTCCAATGGCGTAACCACCTTCAGAGTTTTAAATTGGCCAGTTTCACATAGATGGTCACAATAAGATGAACAGACAGGATGCCTGTCTGTCCAGGGCAGTCTTTAATAATGGTTGGACCCTAGGCCTCCTGGACCTTGCCTCCCCGCTCCCTTGCATGCAATCTGTGTGTTACTAACAGACATACTGACACACGGAAACACTGAGAGACATACTTATACATACACTGACAAGTTGCTTAGGGTCCACAGGGGCAAGAATTTTTTTTGGACCGCCTTCTAGCACAAGGTTGGCCAAAATATAGATCCTCATCTGTCGTACGGGTCCACAATGCTTTGCTAGCTTGGGATCTACAATTTGCCCATTCTTGCAGGGTTGTATTTAGCACTGAGCAATGTGTGTGTGTTTGAATGTAAGCATGTTTTTGTAAGGAGTATGTGTGTGTGAATGTTAGCTTTAGAATTCAGGTGTACATTTGTGTGTAGTGTTTACACTGCCACACACAGATATACCGACACACACAGCAACAGACATGCAAATACACAGACACAAAGCTACACACACAGAGATACACCCACTTGTACTTACACACGTTAAAAAACAGATACATACACAGACATCTGTTAGGCAAGTGTGATAGTAGGTGAGCATGCCACAGTTTAGGGTAGGGGGTTTCTAAGTGATTGTGATAGGGTGGCGAGTGTAACAGGGCTCTGGGGGCTAGCGAGACAGGGCTGGGGCGGGCTAGCGAGTCAGGGCTGGGGGGTTAATGTGACTTTGCCAAACCTGCTGACCTTCCATGCAGGCAGGGGAGGCAATAATTCATTTCATGGTGGTCCAGTGAGTCCCTGGTGATCCAGTGTGCTGCTGGTTGGCTCCCTGATGGTCCAGTGTGCTGCTGGGGCTGCTGCGTGGTTCTAGCGCACGGTGATGTCAGAGCACAGGCTGGGAGCCTGGCACCTGTGCTCTGACACTCACAGTGCACCGGAACCGCGTGAGAGTGTGGCAGCCCCAGCAGCACACTGGACCACCAGGGAGTTCATTTTTAAAAGCGGTCAGGGAGATTTTTTGATCTCTCTGCTAGCTCAGAGATTCCCTTCTGCCAATTGCCTATATAAAAAAGTCCCTTGTGCTGGATCTCAATATCTGACTACAGACATTTTGTTTTCCTCTGCCTATGAGGTCTGCTATTTTCCCTTCTGCGGGATTGATTTACTGATTTTCCCTTCTGCGGGACTGTAGGTACATTTGATTTGTAACGAACACAGAACCTTGCTTTAAAAGGACAACAGTCACCTCAACACTATTTAATACAATGATCATTTCCCTTATACATAAGGAAAACTAGTCCCTCATTTTCTTTATGTATTTGAAGAAAACCAAGAGCTCTCAGGAAAAGAAACCGATTTAGGCACAGGAAAGTACGAGGAAGAAGATTAGATAAAATATTTTTGGTGACAGAGAGTTTGCAATCCACGCAGTTTTATTTAAAGGTTTTGAGATTTGTTCTATGATTGATGTGTTTCTGTGGTACTTTTGTTCAATATATTATTTTATTTTTTTAGATATGCGCTTGACAAAGATGCACACACCATATAATGAAATACTTTAACTATTAGGCAAAACCTTGATGCAACCAACAGCAATTACTACAAAAAAACCTGTATATCATTAAAAAGATGAAAGGTTTCTTTTTAGCAGAAAATAGAGAGTAAAAGTAGCATTTATATAACGCCATTATATTCTTCAGCACTTTACATTTATAGAATGAGGATATCTGACAACAAGCAATTGACATACAAAATAATATTGACAAGAGGTGAAGTAGTTCCCGCTCAAATCAGCTTAAAATCTATGAATATATGACAGGTAATCCTAATTTAAGCATACTAGAATAGCTGTGCATTTAATATATCACAATCTCTGTAAGTAAAATTACCTAGGAAAGATGTGCTCTGTAATCACATCAGTGCTATGTATAAAATAAACAAACAAAAAACAACCTGTGAGAATATATATATTTTTTTTAAATAAAACAATATGATTTAAAAAAAAAAAGTGCCAATGAAAATTAAGCTAGCTTTCTAATAAAGATATATTATAGTTCACATGCTAATTGATAGCACCATATTGATTTGTTTTATTCATGTAGCATACAAACACGAGGCTATATATTCATGCAAAATTGAATTTTTACTTTAACAATTAATTCCATTAATCCATTCAGAAACTCACACTCCAAAGTTTCTGTAAGGATGTTTCAGACATTTTTTCTGTCAAGAAGATATTATTACAGGTGCTTGGATTATCAATTCTCAAAACGGTTCATTTGTGTTTGCAGAGATAACATGAACCTTCTTCACAAGAAAATGTTACATAACAAAACAGTTCTGAAAAGGACCTCAATCCCAACAAACTAATCTGTAAAGTTATTCTAAAAATGAAAGCTTCATCTGATTGCAAATATTAATATTCTAACAAGAACAAGTCTTTACGTAGAAAACCATGATTTAAATCAAGTTTTACCAACTAGTCATTTAAACTGATTTGATTTCATTCAAATTCACCCTGCTGCCAAGAGAAAAAAAATACAAGTGTAATAACCGCACCAAAACAGAAATATAATTTAATAACGTTTGATGAACCAAATTAGAATGGGACCTGCAATATTTCTTAGATCATTTCATGGTAATAAAATGTTTCTATATTAAATATGTGGTGTCCTGCACAATAGTTTAAGATAAATAGTTAGATATCACGATGAGAATAAAATAAAGGATTGCAATTGTTCTTTTTAGGCACAAAAAAAATTACAGATCATTATGAATACAGGTGCAAAGGAAACACTGTAACACTTTCAAAAATAGTACAATTTATAGATCACATTGAATATTTTCTTGTCTAGGTCATTAGTTTTACCTTGTTAAAAAATATTATTTTAAATAAAAAAATATTTGTTGGTGAGCAAAACAAAAGAAAAAAAACTAAAAGAAATGGGGGCAGAAAATGAAAAGAGAGCCATCCAGCTAAAAGCAATACCTTCAAAATCCTGCAGAATGATTCCTTCCTTAAAGGGCATAGTCTGCTTCTGTTGTTGATCTAGAATACTATTAACCATTATGAACTCTTCATCCAGAGCTAAGACGTAAGGAAAAGACACTGCAGCACCAATAACATTATCTGACCAGCGAACTGGAGCACGTTGGGAGATTCCCGCTACGGTTGCAAACATGCCTGCAAAAAAGGAGTAGGACAGAATAGTAGCAAGAACTGAAAATAAATATATTAGGAACAATAGGGAGTGATAGATTTAAACATTAGTATACTTTATTGAAATTTAAAAAAAAATGAGTGATATCACCTGCATAAAAATCAAACTGGGCAGCAGAAATAGAGATTGGAAGAAGTCGCAGCTTCCAAACTATAGATGCCAGGCTAAGAAGGAAAATAGAAAGGGAATTGTACATCGTTTACACGAATAGCTTAGGAAGATTTGTAAAACAAATTACCCATAGCTACGCACTGACTTGACAGAGGGGTAACAAAGTAACTGAGCAGTGGCTGGTTGATCCCAGGAAAGAAGTCGAACAGTTAGCAAAGACTCAGTGGGGGTGACAGGGCACTACAACCCACTGCCTCAGGTATGCTACTTGGTTCCTCTAAAGGGCACGTGTCATGCTCCAAAAACCCCATGGTCACTAGATAAGATTTTACCTGTACATTGTGCTAGCAGGGTTACTAGCACAATGTACAGATTAGGAGAAAAAAAAATATATATATATTTAAAAATAGGTTTTTCTCCCAGCTGTCAGTCAATGCCGCATAGGGTTTCTCTGCAACGCATTCACTGTGGTTGCTGTAAGAACTTCCTAGCCAGTGCCAAAGGTACTGACCTCACTTAACTTCAACACCGGCAATGAAGCCAGCATGCTGACGTCACTGATGAGAATTGACCAGCTAGTGGCATTGGACGAACTGGCACTGGAACAGAGCAAAAGTGCGTAAATCTTTACATTGAATATACTATGTATCTATACAATATATAATGTATTCAATGTGTATGGCAGAGATTTAAGGTAAATTGTTTTTCCTCATAAGAGAGATTCCCTTTCAGAATATCGGAGAGCAAATTATGCCATTGTAAGCTAAACTGTTTTAACTGACACTGAACCTCTTTCCCTCATATGTTTTAATCATGATTTTGTTTCAATATACTTTCAAATGTAATGTTTAAATATACATCTGTTTTGTTTTTGCTGGAAATTGTATAAGCTAGCAAGAAAACGGCAATGGGTTGTCTTATTTAAAAACTATATTAAATGTGTACCTGTCTAGGTAATCATTATGATCCCTAGGACGCCCAAAGTGTGGGCGTTATGGCAGGAATGCCAAGAGTACAGCATTACAGAAGAAGATGGTTGAGAGCGTAAGTGTATCAGTCACCTCATAGGAAGGCGTATGCTCCAGTATCTTGAACTGGTGTGCGGCTAATTGAGTTTAATACTACAACAGTGTTTACTGAGGGTAAGGAAAAAGTAAAACATTTTTTTCTGTCAGATAATTACTCTATAAACAGGGTGAATCTAATTAAAATATTCAAGGTCTTGTGAAGAAAATAAATAAAATATAATTGATATTGTAACAAGAAAAATCTCAGTATTCAATCCACTTCCTGTTTCTGTCAGGGGATTACATCAGATTGGACAACACTAAAAATAATAAAACAAAACCGTGGTCAAACACCTTCACTGGCCAATAATAAGTGATTCTATCTATACAGCACATTTTGTTGGAGAACAGCTAAACTGTCACTTTCTGCTATTATGATACAGCTTCCAGGAACGCTGTTTTTAGAAAATTGTTAAGGACTAGGTCAAGCCGACCTGTTGTAATCACTTATTGTTTTCCATTTACACAATGTTACCTTGATTATTAGCAAATGTAAACATGGTGATATATTTAACTGTTACAAGCTTAACATGTCCTAGCCTACTTACACACTTTCAGTTTGTTTGAAATCTGTATTTTATTAGTGCTGGGTAAATCTACACAGCAGGTTACAAATGTGCAATTTAATGTCCATGTGAATTAAGGAGTAAAACTACAAACATTTCCTTGGGGCTCTTAGAACTCAGAACGTTTGTGCAAAAAAGCAACATATTAACAGTGTCTGTGTGCTTACCTAATCCACCTGGTCCGGCCAGAAGAAACTCTTGTCGGCTAATCCTCTTTACAATTGGTCTCTTCTGTTCACTGGGGTATGGAAAAAGGTCCTGGCAGTGCCCTGTGTTATAGTTCAGCGTAATGTAGCGGCTGCTGAGTGCCAGGCATAGGTAGTGTCCATCAGCTGCTAAAGCACAAGGCTGCTCAGGGGTAGCAACCTCTTTTAGCAGTTGTACTTTCTCTTGTCCTACACTAAAGATCTGCACTGTGCGTCTCTTGGAGGAGATAAGGCACACCTCCACACTAAACGGGTCCCCACTCACAGGGTTTTCATTGAGGCTAAAGCTAAGAGCTCCCTTGATCTTTATTCCCGGGATTGGCTCAAGGGTGTCACTGCACAGCGAAAGAATAGTGTTATCGCACAGCGCCAACAGTCGACAAAGGGCTGAAGCGGCTCTCAGTTCACACACTGGCTTCTTCAGCCCAAGTTGCTTTTGCCTTTGCCTGGTGATGGAAAACCTGGTGTTTGAGCAGTCTGTTTGCTGAATTAGAGATAGTCCTGTTGGGTCACTGCTATTCTCTTCCACTAGCAAGAAATGGTAAATGGAGCCATCAAAGGTGCCCAGGTAGAGATCATGGCCGCTGCACTCCAAGCACTCAATTTGAATCCCTGGTGGCAGCTGCTCCCTTCCAGATGCACAGACCAAGTGAAATGCTTGCACACTCATGGCAAAATCAACGGGGAGCCCCAGGGCGACCTGCAGCACCAAAAAGGAATAAACAAAATAATGTACAGCACATAATGAAATAAAAAATTATATACATTTTAAGACACAAAAGAGAACATACAAAAATGAGAAAATATATATATTTTTAAATATATTTTGAAGTGTGTATGTGAGTGTATAAGGTACATGTAAAAAAAAAAATAAATAAATAAAAAAGGGGGGGGGTAAACATTACGGAGGAGTCTACATTGAGTTGGTGAGCGTTTTACCATGTATTTATGTTAGAGTGTTGAATTGTTGCTATAGATTTCTGGGTGATCCCCTCTGCCCCCTACTTTACTAACAGCTAATACAGAATTGGAAAAGTCTCCATGCCACAACTCCAGCCCCTGTGCCTGGGCCTTTCCAGGCAAATCGTTGAGTCATTACCTTGTGCTTTGACAGAGGCAGTCTTTATTTTTCCGGCCAGGTTCATATGCAAAAGACAAATAGATCACATTTCCCAGCCTATATAACTAAGCAATTGCTGCTGATAATTGATGCTTTGTTTGTTATACCAGCTAACTGAGCATAGTGCTCCTTTTATTAGATTTGGCAGTATACTTTACCATTTGAAAAAGCTCTCCATATTGCCTCTTATCTCACAAAAAAAAATGTATGTTGAGCAACAATTACTAGTGGTAAAATCTGCACTGCTCCTCCTATACAAAACAACTGTGAATGTGTTATTACCCAATGCTAAATAATGTAAAGATAAATACAAACATTGGTGAGTAAGGGAATACTGAGTTGAATATTATGTCCAATTCATCGGTTGTGGCTGAAATGTCATTCATTTGCAAGGTCGCCCCAATTCACGATTTAGCAAATAAACCACTAGATACCAAAGAAATGACAACAACAAGCATAAACAATATTTTCTTTTCAGAAGCACCAAACAATAGACACACTGTGATTTAATTGTAAACATGACCTGTACAGGACAGCATCCTTATCTCAAAGACTCCCTAACAACTTATCTGAAATATGCATGGAATTAAAACAGCATACCAAGAGCATAGGATTATTTTTGTTTGTATATCTCCTCTTATAACCATATGTAATTCAATCATGGACGGCGCAAGCATAATGCAGCACAGGCGGCCACCGACCCGGGGGACCAGCAGGAGGGGAGCGCACAGTACTCCCCTCCTGCCAGTCACACCAGGTGGGGTGGCCACAAGGACCACGTGTAGAGGATCTTCGGTATCCTCTGTCCGATCTGACAGGAAGTGGGCTGGAGTAGGAGATACCAACGGATGGGCATGAAAAAAAAAGAAAAAGACACGAAGAGGGGCTGGAGGGAATAAGAGACACACAAAGGGGCTAAAGGAAGTAAAAAAAAAAAATACAAAAGTTGGTGTATACGCTACAGGAGGCTGTAAGACACAAAAGATACCCAAAAGGAGGCAAGACATTCAAAAAGAGGATAAGAAACACAAAGAGGGTAAGAAATTCAAAAGGTGAATTTAAGAGACAGACCGGTGAACATGTATTTTGGAGGGAGAGGGCATAAGAAGCATTGCCAACGTCAAAATTAGGTCACGTTAAGAAACTATGGATACATAACAAATGATCAGTCAGATTATTGGAAGTTTTAGAATTGCAAAATGTATTAATTTACTGTATACAAACAGTTACAAGTAAGGCAAATAAATATGTCTGTCAACATTTATTCTACTTGGTTTAATTTAGAGATCATGTATTACAAACCATTCGAACAACAGAATAAATATTGGTTTCAGAATATTGAAAATTTTTACTTTACACATATTCAATTATTCGTAACGTGTAGACCTGACAAACTGTCAGTGAAGACTGATGGACCTTTCCTGACCAACAGTAATCCTGAGTAGTACTGGAATAGGTGCACTCTGTATATATCTAACACAAATGCATGCAATTGGCTTCAGGAAAGACTATAGGGCAGTGCATCTTAATATTTCTTTAATTAGATTTCTATAAGAAATTGATTTTATTTTCAGCCAATAACTTTAACTTATGAAATTAAACTGGTGATGAAGCATTCACTGGCGACTATGGTATAGTATTCTATGGAGTTCAGGTAGCGCAGATTGAGAAATTAACAAAAAAGAACCTCAGCAGCACGTTAATATAATATAAACAGAAGTGCTTATTTTGCATCACTTCCTTCCTTATGTTGTATGCAAAAAAAAAAAAAAACATTAACATCATTGTATCTTCAGTTGTATTACCAATCTGAAATTATAGTTTTTGTCCGTGAAAAATAAAGTTTTTCTACAAATCTTAATAACAAAACATTGAATTGTTGCTCTGCTGTATTTCTTAAACAATATAAGTCTGTAGACCTTTATAAAACACATTTCACTGAAAATTGATATAGTCCCAGAGGCAAATGTTGGATGGAATAAGGCTCGGGAAATGGCTACCTTTCTCTTCTGTGACAATATAGTCACCAGAACCACTACAACTCAATGCAGTGATTCTGCTGTTAATAGCCTGGCCATGCAGGCTTTTCAATGTAAACAATGCCCTCTCAGAGCAAATGTAGTGTATACATTGCTGCCTAGTAACACCTCTAGTGGAAGTCACTGAGATAGCCACTAGAGAGGATTACTAGTTCAGTGGAGATGCCGACGGTTCCACATAGAGATGCATGATTCAATGCATCTCTATGAGAAGATGCCAATTAGCGCACGCGCAATAGCCTCCCAATGCATTCCTGTGGCAAAGTTTAGGATAGGCTTTCTCATATTATCCAAGCCATGGAGGCAGGGACAGTTGCAGAAATACTAGCACAGTGTGGGAAAAAGGTTAGTAAACATATTTTACTAATGTGATTGGAGGGACGCAGATCACCTCAGCAAACATGCTCACTGACAGACAATGCACAGCATAAACTCACTGATTTGGCACATATTGACAGACACACATTATCACAATTTTTTTTTACATTTTCCATTTTATTAATAGTGTTCCTATTGAAGTGGGGAGGCAGATGGAGCTACAGTGCCAGGAATACAGCTTTGTATTCCTGGCACTTGTAGTATGCCTTTAAAGGGACACTCCACTGTCTAAATAAAATATATATACATATATACATATATATATATATACACATATATACACACACACAAATCACTATTTAGCAGATATACCCCAAATGAAAGCATGCATGCATTTGATTTTGAATTATTTTCACTGGTGGTATATCTAAAAACGGATTGCAAATGTTGCATTTCTTGTTTGCTGCCTTTGCAAATTTTCCTCTTTTAACCACTCCCAGACTTTCTATTTCTAGCCAACTACAAACTTTCTAATGCAGTTCAATGAGAAGTCTTTACAAGTTAAGTGCTATGAGCGATTGCCTGTAGTTTGCTTGAGTCAGGGAGGTGTAACAAGGAAATATTATAAAAGTGCCAAACTCTATTGAAAACTGCACTTTTTGTAAAATGAAAAAAAAAAAGGACACACTGCACACACAACACATTTCATCAAGCTAAAGTGCTTTAGGTCTCGAGTATCTGTTTAAATGCAATCAAGTTTTACATACATTATCAGTAAAGTTATTACTGGACCTGTGTCAGTACCTGGCTGTGCAGCCATTCCATACATTATCAGTATATCTATTACTGGACCTGTGTCAGTACCTGGCTGTGCAGCCATTCCATACATTATCAGTATATCTATTACTGGACCTGTGTCAGTACCTGGCTGTGCAGCCATTCCATACATTATCAGTATAGCTATTACTGGACCTGTGTCAGTACCTGGCTGTGCAGCCATTCCATACATTATCAGTATATCTATTACTGGACCTGTGTCAGTACCTGGCTGTGCAGCCATTCCATACATTATCAGTATAGTTATTACTGGACCTGTGTCAGTACCTGGCTGTGCAGCCATTCCATACATTATCAGTATAGTTATTACTGGACCTGTGTCAGTACCTGGCTGTGCAGCCATTCCATACATTATCAGTATATTATTACTGGACCTGTGTCAGTACCTGGCTGTGCAGCCATTCCATACATTATCAGTATATCTATTACTGGACCTGTGTCAGTACCTGGCTGTGCAGCCATTCCATACATTATCAGTATAGTTATTACTGGACCTGTGTCAGTACCTGGCTGTGCAGCCATTCCATACATTATCAGAATAGTTATTACTGGACCTGTGTCAGTACCTGGCTGTGCAGCCATTCCATACATTATCAGTATAGTTATTACTGGACCTGTGTCAGTACCTGGCTGTGCAGCCATTCCATACATTATCAGTATAGTCTATTACTGGACCTGTGTCAGTACCTGGCTGTGCAGCCATTCCATACATTATCAGTATAGTTATTACTGGACCTGTGTCAGTACCTGGCTGTGCAGCCATTCCATACATTATCAGTATAGTTATTACTGGACCTGTGTCAGTACCTGGCTGTGCAGCCATTCCATACATTATCAGTATATCTATTACTGGACCTGTGTCAGTACCTGGCTGTGCAGCCATTCCATACATTATCAGTATAGTTATTACTGGACCTGTGTCAGTACCTGGCTGTGCAGCCATTCCATACATTATCAGTATAGCTATTACTGGACCTGTGTCAGTACCTGGCTGTGCAGCCATTCCATACATTATCAGTATAGTTATTACTGGACCTGTGTCAGTACCTGGCTGTGCAGCCATTCCATACATTATCAGTATAGTTATTACTGGACCTGTGTCAGTACCTGGCTGTGCAGCCATTCCATACATTATCAGTATAGTTATTACTGGACCTGTGTCAGTACCTGGCTGTGCAGCCATTCCATACATTATCAGTATATCTATTACTGGACCTGTGTCAGTACCTGGCTGTGCAGCCATTCCATACATTATCAGTATATCTATTACTGGACCTGTGTCAGTACCTGGCTGTGCAGCCATTCCATACATTATCAGTATAGCTATTACTGGACCTGTGTCAGTACCTGGCTGTGCAGCCATTCCATACATTATCAGTATAGCTATTACTGGACCTGTGTCAGTACCTGGCTGTGCAGCCATTCCATACATTATCAGTATAGTTATTACTGGACCTGTGTCAGTACCTGGCTGTGCAGCCATTCCATACATTATCAGTATAGTTATTACTGGACCTGTGTCAGTACCTGGCTGTGCAGCCATTCCATACATTATCAGTATATCTATTACTGGACTTGTGTCAGTACCTGGCTGTGCAGCCATTCCATACATTATCAGTATATCTATTACTGGACCTGTGTCAGTACCTGGCTGTGCAGCCATTCCATACATTATCAGTATAGCTATTACTGGACCTGTGTCAGTACCTGGCTGTGCAGCCATTCCATACATTATCAGTATAGTTATTACTGGACCTGTGTCAGTACCTGGCTGTGCAGCCATTCCATACATTATCAGAATAGTTATTACTGGACTGTGTCAGTACCTGGCTGTGCAGCCATTCTATACATTATCAGTATAGATTACTGGACTGTGTCAGTACCTGGTTGTGCAGCCATTCCATATACATTATCAGTATAGTTATTACTGGATTCCAAGTCATACCTGGCTGTGCAGCCATTCCATACATTATCAGTAGGCATAGTTATTAATACTGACCTTGTGTCAGTACCTGGCTGTGCAGCCATTCCATTACATTATCAGTATAGCATACTGACCTGTGTCAGTACCTGGCTGTGCAGCCATTATTCCATGCTAATATCAGTATAGTTATTACTTGTGTCAGTACTGGCTGTGCAGCCATTCCATACATTATCAGTATAGTTATTACTGGATCCCAGGTCAGTACCTGGCTGTGCAGCTATTCCATACATTATCAGTATATCTATTACTGACCTGTGTCAGTACCTGGCTGTGCAGCCATTCCATACATTATCAGTATAGTTATTACTGGACCTGTGTCAGTACCTGGCTGTGCAGCCATTCCATACATTATCAGTATAGCTATTACTGGACCTGTGTCAGTACCTGGCTGTGCAGCCATTCCATACATTATCAGTATAGCTATTACTGGACCTGTGTCAGTACCTGGCTGTGCAGCCATTCCATACATTATCAGTATAGCTATTACTGGACCTGTGTCAGTACCTGGCTGTGCAGCCATTCCATACATTATCAGTATAGTTATTACTGGACCTGTGTCAGTACCTGGCTGTGCAGCCATTCCATACATTATCAGTATAGTTATTACTGGACCTGTGTCAGTACCTGGCTGTGCAGCCATTCCATACATTATCAGTATAGTTATTACTGGACCTGTGTCAGTACCTGGCTGTGCAGCCATTCCATACATTATCAGTATAGCTATTACTGGACCTGTGTCAGTACCTGGCTGTGCAGCCATTCCATACATTATCAGTATAGTTATTACTGGACCTGTGTCAGTACCTGGCTGTGCAGCCATTCCATACATTATCAGTATAGTTATTACTGGACCTGTGTCAGTACCTGGCTGTGCAGCCATTCCATACATTATCAGTATAGTTATTATTGGACCTGTGTCAGTACCTGGCTGTGCAGCCATTCCATACATTATCAGTATAGTTATTACTGGACCTGTGTCAGTACCTGGCTGTGCAGCCATTC